ACTCTTACTTACTATACAATATTTACTCCAGTATGAAAGAGAGAAATTATTTGTTTACAAGACATTGATACATTAATTTACCTATAACATTACTCTCTTCTATACCCCAAAGTTTATGATTTAAATTTATAGAGATGCTTATGGGATTACATCTTAATTTCTCTATCCTTAAGAGATCAATAATATACCTTTGTTGAAAAATAAATGTCTCTTTTCAAGTGTGCCACTTTAATCTTGTGAAAGTACTTCAACTTTTCTAACATTTTAGTGTCAAATTCCTTCAATAAATACTTAAACATTCATTTTCACTCTTGTCATTTGTTGTTATTATTATTGTCATCTACATATATTAGAAATACTGTGGTTCTCCCTAAATGTGAATGTTTGATAAATAAAGTATGATCCCCATTACAAAGTCCATATCCTATGTCTCACATCACCTTTTTGAATATCTCAAACTACGTCTTTTAATAATTATTTGAGCTCATAATATTTTCTTGAACATATACACTAAATCACCCTTTGAACTTGTCTCATATCTTTAAGGGATATCCAGATAAATTTCTTCATTGAGTTCTCCATGTAAAAATGTACTTTTTATATCAAATTAGCATATATCTCACTCATAATTCACTATTAAAGAAAGAAGGTTCTAACTATATTGATATTTACCATTAGGAAGAATTTTTTTATGTAATATATTATGTAAATTTGAATATAATTTTTAGTTACTAATCAAGCTTTATATCTTTTTACTATCTAATCAACTTTATTTTAATAGTGTATACTTATTTACGTCCAACTATATTCTTTCTTTGTAATAATTTGACTAGTTCTTGTTTAGAGCATTATATGTGTGATACTTTGATGATGAAAAACAAGCATAAGATCAATTAAAAAAACGAATTATACATTATTTTGAATATACATGATATAAAGATAAACATGAAAGTGATTATATATAATTCTATATAGTAGGACTAGATGTCCAATTAAGAATTCATTAAACAACATGTGATTAGAGTGTACAATTTATATGTTTGATTCATTTTATTGCATTAAATTATCATGTTGCATACTCATGCTGAAAGCATTAGTATTTATATAATATGCAATTGTGAGAAAGTAATGAGTATAGAAGTAAAATATCATATTAGATTCTTAACTAATATGAGTATGGAACACATCTGAATCAACAAGATTACATAGAGTAAAATATGTGTATGGAAACTTATTCAGTCTTCTCTATGCTAGTGATATTAAAACATTACTTTTGAATAACTTTGATATCAATATGCTTGAAGTATTCAATTTTTTTATGGAAAAAAGATGTTGGGGGACCAAGGAAATCTAAGAAGATATTCATACATGACTTACCTATAAATAATAATTATGGACATAATCCACACCCTAAAATTCTTAGGGACTAAATTTATCATTAATTTAATACATTGTCACTAAAGTGACAACACCTCTAATATACTTCTAAATTCTAAAATTTGGGTTAATAAATAGTTTATAAAATGAAAGGCTATTAAGGTAGCTTTTCACTAAACAAATTTTGCACATGATTTTGAAATATAAGTGCTTTTGATACTTCTAATATGTGTTAATTTTTCTTTTTTACCACCTCATTCTATTGTGGTGTGTTGACACATAAGGATTTATGAATAATCTATTATTTTTGAAATTATTCTATTATTATCTAGTTAAAATAGTCTCTAGTATTATCTAATCATTTTTTAATGAAATTAGTTTTTATTAATGAATAAAATTATTGAATTATCTTACTAACTTCTAACTTATAGCTTAATATATAGAATTTAAGTTATTTGTGAGTGATCATTAGTAAATTGCACAAATCATTTTGCTCTTAAGATATTAGAAATAGATGGAGAGTCCCTAGACGTCACTATGAGATAGTGAAAATAGATTAGCACTTTGTCTAATATTTGTCAAGAGTGGTGTTCTTCTATGTTTCATCAACTCACAAACATCACATTTTAAATTTAGAAAGTAAACTTAAAATATATTTATAAACATATTTATATTTTAATAAATAATTTGATATATTAGCCATATGATCAGTGACTCATGTATTTAAAATCCATGATGTGGAAAATAATAGTAGATTGCTTACCAAAGATTGAAGAAACTCACAAAAGTTGCCAAAAGAGTTAAAGGTCATTACAGATTTTAGCTTTTTGATCTTAACGTTCAATCCTACTATCACTCTTTCTTAAAAGTATTCACCTTCAATGTTCTATTTACCTTAGAACTTGGCATTGTTATGAGGTGATTTTGGCTTCCTATCTAAGGCTTTATATAGAATTTATATCATTGGTTTTGAGTGTTTTGTACTTTTTTATAGTGAGTACATCCTAAAATATCCTTATATTCGCTCTTCTTCATCCCTTGACCACGTTCTTGAGGTAGATCTTTATTTTTTTTATATTTCACCACAAATATTGAGTTATTAACATTTTATAACTCTACTATAATACTCTTATGTCTTTCTTTGTTCTTTACTATTATAATTATTTTATCTAATTTTGAAAATATTATTTTCCCATAAGTTAACCTCAAACTTGATCATAGTCAATATTGAGACCAACATGACATTTATAAATCATGTTTATCTCTATAAATTTTTGGAAGAAAAGTTCATCCTCAATATCTCTTACTGTGATCATCTTGTAATTATCAATTTCTTATCACAATGATTTTATCTCATTTGCATAATCTTTGCCTAAGTCTTCCTAAGTTTTCCATAATCTTTGCCTAAGATATCTCATTTACTAGTTCTTTCCCTAAATGTCATTAGCTATTAGAAGAAATAGGTAATTGGCATTTATTTTTGAAGTCATTGTATAAAGTCACATTTTAATAATTAAATCTTTCTTTTTTCCATGACATGAATCTAAGATTTGTGATTCATACATCAGGTCCAATATGTGGTTGAATTTTTCTTTACCCATTAGCATCACTTCAATAAAGTCACTATTCTAAAACCACTATTCTCCCATCTAATTTGAATTCATTTGGAATGGTTGGCAATTCTAAGTATAATTTAAAACATTTTGAAGAATGTGATGATGAAGATGATTTTGGAACTATTGATCTAAGTAAAACACCAAGAGGGGGTGTGAATTGGAATTTTTGAGATTTGTATTAATTTTTTATTTAAGTTAGACTTGGTATATGCATCAATAGATGTGTCGACACACATATATTGCAATAAGACCTTCCAAGTTTCTTTCATGAAGAACATTTAGATTTTTATATCAGTTATTCTCTCACTCGACTATTTTCAATCTTAGAGAAAACTTTCTTCCAATATTAACTAATTTTCTCAATAATTACACTTTGATATTACAAGCTCAATCACTTAAATACCTTGAGTTTGTTTCTTTAGAGACCTAGCCCCTCTTAGGCTAAATATTGGGCTACTATCACCTCATGACTTCACCCATTATACTCTCCCCACACCACTCAATTACCTTAGGGCCTAATGAAGAGTAAACATTGTGATGGTTGACTCATTTATTTTGCTAGAATTGGTTTATGAAGATGATGTAGCTTTCTTACACATTGTTGATGAGAATTTGATACTACAATTTGAATATGTATATTCAACTTATTTTTTATTCAAAAGTCTTCTCTCATAAGTATGCCTTCTTTTTTTAATAGTTTTTTTATTTTACCAGGTCCCTAATGTTGACAATCGTTGTTCAAAAACTTACAATATTGACCTTTGAATCTCTCAATTCCCTAACTTTTCATTCAAATTTCAATGAGAGTTTCTTAACCTGATGAAAAATAGTTGGATGTCCAATTCAGATATAAATCAAGTTTACTATTTGCTTGTCCATGTAAGCAACTGACATGTCATCATTGAGATGCTCTATGTGAAACTAGAATATCTCATCTATTTTTTTCATTTCCTTAATGATTTAATCCTCATGATGTTTTTAGAAATCTATCTATCATCATTTCAAAATGTTAAAAACTAAATAATCTGATTAGTAAACTTATAATCAAAGATAAGATAATTCACATGATTTACATATACTCATTTAACCATATACTTATCATTTCATTTGACGATGATCCTTTAATTAATATTCTTTGTTGATCAAGTGTTACTAAAGTGAATAATCACTTAATCTTAAGGGTTAATGTTTTATATTCAATCATTAGTGATAGGATCATAAAATCAATAAAAATAATTCATATAATTTTGAATGTATTGAATATTTGAGATATATTTGTAGCATATATAAATAATCATCAATATTTAATAATTACATATCAATATTTTTTTACGTGAAATTATCAAAATCAAGAATATCCACAAATGACGTATATACCACTTTGAACATTAAAATGACTTCTTTCTTAGCCAACAAATATCTTGTTCCCTCTCTCCTCAAGTAGATATGAGCCCAAATAGAGGAATGAGGATTCATTTTGAAGGAAAAATCAAATTGACTCTTTTCAGGATTGATTTATTTGTTATCTCACTTTCAAATACCGGAGGAAAGGTATAGTTGGTCGAAAATAACCATCAAAATAACTAGAGACCAAATAATCATAAAAAAATCGGTTTGTAAAGTAGATATCAAGATTTAGGGCAAATTAGATTCATCTACATTTAATCAGTCGTGAGATCAAGAGAAAAAATTATAGGAAAGATCCAAGGGTCCAAGGAGATCGGAACAATGTCAATTGGAATGCTCATATACTATTTATAGAAGTCGTCATAATGTAGATCTGATCAGGTTAATCTAGCTTCACTTATGCAGCCGCCGACACCCCCGGAACGTAACGGGACGATCTCACCGTTCATGGCTGAAGCTAACCCGAGCGAGTCGACGCGTGTGGTCACATGTGTCAGAGCGCATGGCGGCTGCCGCCGACGCCGCCTTCCTCCTTAAGAAGAGTCGTCCTCCTCATCCGCCGGTGGCGTTCTCTGGTCTTCTCTGGCGCCGCCGAGCAGGATGGCCACTGCGAGAACCGCCGCCGCCGCCGTGCTCTGCGCGCTGTGGGCGGCGACGCAGGCGCAGGATTGGGCCCCTCCGGCCGAGTGCAGTAACTGCTCTCTATGCGGGACTTACTGCCAGGAGACCCCTCCTCCGCCACCGCTGGGCTCTGTCGTTTACGGATCCCCTCCACCGCCGTCGCCGCCGCCGCCGCTGCAGCCTGCCGGCGGGGGAGAGTGCCCGCCGGCGACGGTCATCCAGTGCTGCCCAAACCCGCCGTCGGGTCCCGACGAGAACCTCCCTTACTACAACTACTCTGGCTCGCCGATACCGGCGGCGGTGACGGCAGCGGGGGGGGCGGCGGCTGCCTCAGCCATCCTGTTTCTGGCCTTCGCCGCTCCTCTCCTCTGAACCAACTTAGGAAGGATATTACCGTGGCCAGACCTCCTTCACTGTTTCTTCTCCCGTTCTGGATTCCCATATGATAATGTACGCAAAATTCGACAGTCTCGTGATTTCTTCGTTGTAAAGAATGAGAGAGAGAGAGAGAGAGAGTTGATCTTGCTGGAAAGGATTGGATTCTCATGGAAAGTATTATCCTGATCGACAAGGATATGATGGCATCAGATTTTTTATACATAATTTGGAGAGTTTCAACTGTTCGTCGAGGGCCTATTATGTTTCATGTCAAAGATCAAACCATTCAAAGATTACAGAATTAAATACTACCATCTATAGGTAACATGAGACCTAACATTTTAGACCTTGGAGTTCAAAAGTTAACATCTAGAAAAAATATTTTAAACTAATTATTCAATAAAATTTTCATAGAGAGTATGATTTAGATATATAATAAAATTAATTTAATACTTTACAGGAATATATTTTGTATTTTTTAAAATTTTCAGAGTTGTAGTAAATTATATGTTTGAGTTAAGCATGAAAAGTAACAGGGGAAGTCTAGAGAGCTTAGGAATTTTAGTGAAATAAAAATTATTAAAGGTTTAAATATAAGTTCTTTTAGTTTATAAGCGTCAATTTGAAATCTATGACAGGTGGTGCAAGAAGTATTTATTCATTAATTATTCATAGATAGTATGATTTATGTAAATAATACAATTAATTCAAATTTCAAAATCAGCTATTTTGTTTCGTTTTGGATTTTTTAGAGATGAAGTAGTAAATTATATAGCTGAGTTAAGCGTGGAAGAAAGGTGGTAGTAAGTCTACATAGATTAGGAATGTGGTAAATAAACATTGTTAAGGCTCTTTCAGTTTATAACTGTCACTTTGAAGGCTATGACGGGCGGTGCAGAAACAGCAGTCCCACCTCCCGCAGGCTGGAGAGGAGGGCAAGCTTGCCCTTGCTAGGCCCTGCGATCGCGTCCCCCCCCTGGTGGTTTCTGCCGGCGTCCGTGACCAGTGAGATCCCTGAAACCCTTCCGCTCTTCAGGATCCGGCCCCTGCTTGCGACAGTCACTCTCCCGGCGGAATCGCCGGGGGACTTCCAGTTCTCCAGAGCTTGCGCCGGCTACGCGGAATCCTCTTTCAGGTGCCTCCGCTAGAACCCAACCATAGGCTGGAGACGATACCAGATCTTCGGACGGGGTTGGAGTTGGATGAGGCGGACGCTGTCAACTTCGGCGGAAGGTCTTTCAGACGGGGCAGGGTTCTTCATCGTGACGAGACCTGAGAGAATCCGTGGCGGAAAACTGAGGGCGCGGGGAATCATTCCGGCTGCTCCCGTACAGAAAGCTAATTCAAGAAAAAATCAGTCGCCTCCTCTCTCTCTCTCTCCTGGATTCTGCCTCCTGGTATCGAACTCGAAGAGATTCAGCCATGGCCCGTCTCACTCACTAAGACCTTGGGGCTATCTCTAATGTCACTGACCCGCCACCTGTTTGTAGTAATGCCACCAAAGGATTCCGCACTATGAAGGCCACGACAAGCCATGTGTATATGATGCTATTAAGGGCAGCATTGTGTTGAATATGCAGTGGGGCACCGTGCCAGTGGCATGATTTCTTCCCAGAAATGTTTCAGGGAAGGTCATTATCCGTTTGCAGGAGATTATCGAGGCATGATGTATTATGCTTGCTTCAGAACGTTGGCGCTCTCTACTGTAGGCCAATGGCCTGTGCAGGTACTGTGACACAGATTCTCTTTGTTCCTTATGTTCTTTCAATTCCAATCTTTTGGTTTTCTCTTATGATTTGTAGTAAGTAACATTATCCAGTTTATGATATAAACAGTGTAATAATAATTTTCATGCCACGAACTTTTTCTTTGCCGCAGTGAGAACATTTTGGGTTAATTGATGGATCCTGATTGGAAATTTCTAATCGGTACTTAAATTCACCTAATTTTTATTTTATTTATTTCATGTGTCCTTCGTGGCATAATCCTCATAATGACGTTTTTAGTTCATTAGTTTCCAGAGTTTTGTATTATTTTCTGATTTATTTAATGACACCAAAACTTCCCAAAGAAAAATAAAATTGCTCTTAATCGAGAAGTTCCCTTGTTTTGATCGACAGGTTCCATTCTTGTGGCAGGGAAATCATCATTCTGCTCCATGAATCACAGGCGCTTCTCTTCCACTCCTGCCACTGTGGAAGATAAGATGAACGCCGCTGAATCCAAAGGGAAGCACAGCCCCTCCTCCACCTCCCTTGCAAGAGCCCTCGCTTGTCTTCCGGAAGACGAGTCCCCGACAGAGAAGGAGTTGACCCGGATGGAAGTCAAAAGGTCCCTCGAGAACCGGATCAAGAAGCGGGTGAAGGACCAGTTCTCCAGAGGGAAATTCCACAATCTCATGGATGCAGTGATCGTCAACGGGGACACCCTCCGGGATGCGTACGACATCATCAGGCTGGACTCGAACGTTGACCTCTCATCTTCAGGGGACGACAGCCTCTGCTTCCTCTCCATCGCCGGCGAGCTCGCCGCCGGCGGCGGCTTCGACGTGAGGGTCAACACCACGTCAATCCTCGCGAAGAACGGCGGCGGGCGGCTGGTTCTCCCCAACCTGAAGCTGAGGATTATCCAGGAGGCTGTGAGAGTCGCTCTGGAAGTTGTCTACCGCCCTCACTTCTCCAAGCTCTCCCATGGCGGTCGGAGCGGGAGAGGACACAGGTCCGCCCTGAGGTACGTCTCTCGGGAGGTCGGCGGCGACATAGACTGGTGGTTCACGCTTCCCATGAATGCACTGGCCGACATTAATATCGTCTCCAAGCTGATCTCCATGATGGAGGAGAAGATCGAAGATGCCCACCTGTTCTTCTTCATCCGCGAGCTGTTCCAGGCGGAGGTCCTCAATCTGAGTTTCGGGGGGTTCCCAAAAGGCCATGGCCTCCCTCAGGAGGGGGCTCTCTCTCCTATCCTGATGAACATCTACCTCGACGCGCTGGACCAGGAGCTGCTTAGAATCTCCATGAGGTACGAATGCCTCGGTGATGATCCCTCTTCTGGTCCGCAGGACGGGCGGCGCTCCAAGCTTCGAACTTGGCTCCGGCGGCGCATCACCGGCGGCAGCGGTGACGGAGGGGAGGAGACGGCGGCGAGGTTTCATGCCTGCAGGTTCATGGACGAGGTGTTCATCGCCATCCGAGGCACCAGAGATTCAGCATGCAGCCTCAGGGACGAGATCCTGGAGTTCCTGAGGAGCTCCCTGTTCATCGAACCTGGCCACCTCGTGGAGGTTCTGTCAGTGGAAGCCTGCCCACAAGGTCTGCAATTTCTCGGCATGGCCCTCCGCGTCGTCACCGGCGGCGGTGGCGGCGGCGGCAGCGGCGGTGGTGGACCTGAGAGAACCAGAGCTGTTCATAAGCTCAGGGACAAGGTCCGATCCTTCGCCTACCACAAGAAGGATTCTTGGGAGGCCCTCACAGCTCGGCTGGGGAAGAAGTGTCTGGCCCACGGCCTGAAGAAGCTCAAGGAGTCGGAGATTCGACCGTTGCGGCGGAGCACCCCGGTTTTGGACCAGATCTCCCGCTTCCGCAAGGAGGGAATGAAGACTGACCACTGGTTCAAGACCCTTCTGAAGGTATGGCTGCAGGATGTTGGCGGCGCCGCGGAGGCCGACGAAGAAGCCGTCTTGCGCAAGCTCTTCGCCGAGCAGGCCCTGCCGGAGGACCTCCGAGAGGCTTTCCTCAGCTTCCAGTTGCAGGTGGAAGGGTACCTCCTCGCGGAGAACGTCTCAACGCAGGAGCTGCTCTCGGAGATGAGGAAGGAATATGGTGGTGGCGGCGCCGCCGGCGATAGGAGCAAGATGGTGGTGGCGGTGGAGGCGCCGATGAGGTTCATCGAGCGGCGGCTCCTCCGCTACGGCCTGGTGGACCGACGAGGAAACCCGAGGTGCGTGCACGAGCTCGTACTGCAGGACGACGCCCTGATCGTGAGCTGGTTCGCCGGGCTGGCGCGGCGGTGGCTTCGGTGGTTCGCCGACGCCGCCAACTTCCGGCAGGTCGAGGCGACGGTGGCCGGCCGCCTCCGCCGGTCCTGCGTCCGCACCCTCGCCGTGAAACACCGGATGGCGGAGAACGTGGCGGAGAGGAGGTTTGCAGAGGAGCTGACAGCGACCCCTCTTGCCGGGGGAGATTCCAGCTCCGGCGACCTTCTCGCCGGAGGAGATTCCGGTTCAGGCGATCTGCTCACCGGAGAAGACGAGGCGTTGACCTACGGCGTGGCCTACGGCGGGCTCTGCGCGCTGACTCTAGAGAGGGTGGCGGTGCCGTGCCGGCGGCTGCGGTGCTCCGTCGTGGGGTGCTCGGAGGGGTCCCCGGCGATCTACGCCCTGCGGGTGAAGGAGAGGCAGAGCTTCCCGGGGTGGAAGACGGGGTTCTCGCCGGCGATCTTCTTAGGGCTGACGGGGAGGAGGGTCGCCCTCTGCAGACGCCATGTGGAGGATATCTACTTGGGCCTCATATCCCTTCGGGCCGTTGACTTCGGGTCCCTAAATTGACTTTTTAAAGCCCAATCCCGATTATTGACTTGAAACTCGCAAATATGTGCCTTGGATAAACGAGTCTATCCGTTCGATATGACCCCAAGATGGTTGGGGTTTTGCTCTATCGTTGATCAGGCTAGGTTCCTATTCGCAGCTTGATCTTGGGCGTTGGAGGCGTTGACTAATATCAAGATTTTGTCCGTGCTTCTGTTGATGAAGTGGACTCCGCCAGTTACATTTTTGACTGAAATCCCGCAATTCTCTAGCTCGAAGAGAGGAACCTATCCCTTAGATGTGATCCCAAAACGGTGTTCTATGGTCGATCAGGGTAAACTGCTATTCTCGGCTCGATCTTGGGTGTGGAGGCGTTAACTAATGTCAGATGATTGGCTTTTGTGACTTTCACATGTCAGCACGCAGTGACAGCTGGCACCTTATCAACAGGATTTTCTCCGTGGTTTTGCTGATGCCGTTGACACCGCCAACTCACGAACGTGGGGTGCCGTACTGTGAGCCATTGGCTTGAGAACCACGGATCTGACGGTGGTGGACGAGATCGATCTTGTTGGGCCCTCGTTTTCTAAGTAGAGTTGGTGGCAGCAACTAATCCCGTCCGGTGCGGGACCCACAGTATAAGGACCACGGATCCGACGGCTGTGAGATGATATCATTAAATGATCGATTCGCGATGGGCCCTTACCAGTAACTATTTCGAAAGAGGAAGCTAGCATTTTTTATTAAATGTTTTATTGAATTATGTTTAAAGAATATTCGCAGTAGTCTCGACCTGCTGGGCTAGGCGCCCACTTTGAATGACCCAATGGGTCTTATTGGGGCCTTTGAACTACTGTACACAGATATTATATATATGTAGATATATATAGAGCGAGAGAGAGAGAGAGAGAGCGAGAGACGGGGTCCATATAAGATTGTTGAAATTAAGACGGTGCTAATCAATAAAAAATAAAAATCGATATTTCATATAATATAAAAAATATAAAAAGGAGTTTCATGTCATATGTTTAAACGGACGCCCTTGACCAACGGTGGGTGAGGCGTCGTAGGTGGAAGAAGGCGGCTCGGTACCGTTGCGGTGGCGGTTCGTTAATTGTCGAGAGAGAGAGAGATTAAAATAATGTTGTAAATAAAACCTCAACATAAAATAAATTACTTGTCAGTGGCTAATCGGTGAATTTTAAAAAGTATCTCATGATGTGCCGTTGACTTTGTTTAAAGTCTGGAGATGGATCGAACAGCTGGACCGCCGTGGGAGGGAACGACGTGGAAAGATGGGGGGTGTGACTTTAAAGCCGAAGTTCAGGGCTTTGACTTTACGTAGGAGACGAGAGAGAGAGAGAGGCCAGTTGCGTGAGAACATGAAGATCAAACCTCATGCAGCCTGCAGGAGAACCAACATGAAACTGATGGTTTTAATTTTGTAATCGACTTTTGGCAATTTATAATGATCCGCCTGGTGGGGACTGGGTCCTCTCCGCGGCGCGAGGCCGGGGGTGAGCTCGTACTCCGTGGGGAGGTCCGATTTCCCGCCGGGAAGGAGGAAGAACAGCCGTGAGTTGCTAATTCATCATCCTTTTTGATTAAGAATTCGACCGCATCTTCATCCGTTCTTGGTTCCAGTGAACTCGATGGATGTTTTTGTTATCGTTCTGTTGTTCCTGTTCTTGTTGTTGCGTGTGTCGATGGAGGTTGAACGGCGGAGTTGATGGGATTCTGGTAGCGAACGCTACGTTTCCTCTGTTCTTCATCTTCTTTGATTTCGGTTCTCGGAGTTCGCGGAGTGCTGGAGAAGGCGAAGGTCGCAGCAATGCCATGGATTCTTCCCTGTGCGATCTGTGAGTCTTTGTTCTGCGAAAGGGATCCGTAGCTTGGGAGTCCGAGATTGACAGATGGACCCCAGAGGCCGGGAAGGAGGGAGTGTCAGGAAGTGGAGAGGAGTAATCGAGAAGCCTATTCTACCTATTTCCCTTGTAGTCTACTGTCCGGGAATTCTCTGAAAATTCATCTCGAGGTGCTCCTTCCTGAAGTTCGGGAACGAGATCATTCGGTACGGAAAAACAGGATTGACGGAGGCTCGGAAATCTGATTTTCCTCGCGAGGTTTCTGATCAAATAATCTGCGATCAGACTTGACGTCGAGTCTGATACGTTTGGATTCTTTTGGTAGTGAGAAATCATCAACAACTCGTCGGTTCTTCGAGGTTTTGCTTCCCATAATTTAACCGAGGTGTTGAAGTTCATCCGCTTCCGCTTTCTCCGCCTCTTCCGCGGATTGGAAGGTTTGAAAATGAGGAATGATCGATCGATCGATCGATCGGACTCCTACTCGAATTCCGTTTCCGGTTTAGGTCCACGCAAAGAATTGAAATCAAAAGGATCTTCAACTCCTCTGTTTACTCCCCCAGAAAGAAGCCCTAAGAACCCTAGCTCGTGTGCCAGCGGCGGCGATAACGTCACGCTACGGTTGTTGTCGCTGCTGTCGTTGCCGATGCCGGCGAGGTGGGACCGGCGGCTCCACCTCCACAGCCTCCGGCGCCGGGGAACCCGAACGGCCTCCTGCTGGCTTAATTTATTCACCCTGCCTTAACAATTAATGCCGCGAGCTGCCGCCCGCATAAACAATTAAATGCCCCCCCTCTTCCCTATTTGACTTCATTGCAGCTCCCACCGTCTCCAGCCAGCTTCCGCTTGTATTTGGATTTAATTGCTCCGTCATAGCCACCAGCTCCTACACTTTCTTCTGTACTCTGCGGCCATCTCCGTTCTGGAATCCTCATCGGCGCTGCCAAAAGGAGGTGGTGGTGGGAGGTCCGGTCTCTGCGTCTACCGCTGTCAATTTTTTTTTAAAGGCTGCGAGGAACCCAAGGTTTTGGTCTCTGGGTTTACTATCTATTGTAGATTTGATTGGGGTTTGAAGAATTTATGCATGCCTTACTTCGAGTTGAATGCTTGTGATAACTTCGTTTCTTTTTTGTTTTAGTCTAGAGACTGATACCTTCTCTCTGGGTCGTCTTCTTCCTCCCAGGGAAGCGTGGGCACCACCTCGCGTTTTGCAGAGTGACAGAGGGGATTGAAAGGTAAGGCTGTTCATCTCCCCCATGTTTAATTTTTAATGTTCGAATATTAAACCTCTCTCTGTCTCTCTCTCTCTCTCTCTCTCTCTCTATGGGATATGAAATTGCTGGATCTGGCAGAGATCTTAGTTGTTATGAGGGGGGGTTGGCTAGTCCTAGTCGGATGCTCGTCTCCATAAGTGGGGAGGGGTCTATTGATCCTGGCGATGTGCAGTAAGAGCTTTGGTTCAAGAATTATTGCATGCTGAACTGGAGCACGTGTCTCCTCCTCCCTCTAGACAACACCCCCTGCACTCTGTCTCATCTTTCTTCTCCTTTCCCATTGATCGCATTCAGGTGCTTCAGGAGCTTGATCTCCACTCTGCCCACGACACATCGTAGAGCCAGCCAAAGTTTTGATCCATGCCATGAGCAGTCGCTATCAGTCGGGCTCATGCTCAGCATGGGGGAGATTCCTGCCCAGGTATATGAGGTTCCTACCCTTCTCAGTAGGTAACAGAGGTCTATACCTTCCATCATCTCTCGGGTTTGCTCGAATGTTCGACTTATGTTCTCATATTTTTGTCCTGCCATCATATTTTTGGTAATCTTTATCCGCGTTTTGATGTATGAGCCCAGCATCGCTATTTGGAATCTGTTTTCACTGTCGTGAGATAGATATTCAGCTTCCTCTCTTCTCGTCCCCATTCTCTGTGTAAACAGTTGCTCACAGCTGCACTCATATTTTGCTGGATTATTCAGCTGCTTGTTCTTTGTTTACACTAAGCCCATGAAATTTCTTCTGCAGATTCCCCTCTACTCTGTGACCAGGCTTGTGGAACGATTCGAGCCTCCCCTTCCAATAAAAACAAGTGCATGGTTGTTGAATAAGAGGTTATATTTAGAGTATGCATCTGGGTAAGCTTTTGTTTAGATCTGCAGAGTTCGTTCCTTACTGATTATTTTTTATTATTTAGAATTAAAAAATATTTCCCCTCTCCTTACTTCAGTTTCTTTCCTTTTAGTATCTACATTTTTACTCTGCTTTTTTGTCACTACGCAGCGCAGATGTCTTCTTAAGTCTTTCTCAAGTTTTAAATCTTGTCTCTGCAGCTGGTGAGCCTGTCAAGCCGCTGCCCTTTCAAGATCATGAAGATCTGACGAAAGACGGTGGATATAATGACCGCCATTTGACTTCGGGAGTGAACGCTGATGACGAGGTAAATAAGAGAGGGGTAGTGAGTTTTATGTCCCTCGAGCAGGTCCTGGATCGATCGATCTTGAGAGATAAAGCAGGGGAATACGTTGGAGCAGATTTGGACTCCACCGATTGCAAGCAAAATGGGTATAAACTAGACCCAGTTCCTCTTTGCCTACCAGAGAATGAAGTAGTTAGGCGAGAAACCGAGTTTTACATGAACAAGGTGGTCAGAGATGTCGAACAGCCCAAGATGATTTTGTGTTACAAGGAGGGATCATACGACATCGTCAAGGATATTTGTGTCGATGAAGGGTTGCATTCCCTTGACGGGGCATTGTCAGAAAATGAGGTAAAAAAATATGTGAAGAGCAGCAACGACTTTGAATTGAACAGCCTGAAATTAGCAAGTCTTAGCGAACAGCTTCATCTGGATCTCAGTGGGGAAGATACCGATCATACTTCCTCTGGAGACTTGCCAGAAGAAGGTGAAGACATGTCTGGAACAGTTGACAGTTCAGATGGCCAGCAGTCAACCCAAGATGAGCACCATGTTTCAGATCCCGGCGGGGAAGATCCCAAGCACAGTTCGGTGGAGATCGCCTCCGTTGAGCCTCATGAGAAGAACATTGGTGGGATGTTGTCTCCACCAGTGGAACCTGTCAGTCGTCAGAGTCCTCGTAGAAGTGGCAGAAGATATTCTTTAGCTGAGTTATTGGCAGAAGATAAAAAAGATAGTGGCCCCTATGGGGCACCTCTATATTCATCTGAGATTCTACGCTCACCAAAGACCAATGAGCTGCTCCCTCAGCAAGAACCAGATACGGAGCAAAGTCACGCTCATATGCCCAGTTCTGAATCCAATCTTGGCCAAACCGAGTTGGTCGCCGGTCAACCGCAGACTTTTGATTCCCAATCTGGGAAGCCGCGATCCATACAGGGTGACTCGGATTCATCACAATGTCCTGACCAAGACGGTGTCAGGCCGCCATCTAGCAGCGCCGATCGAGCTATCGAGGTACCCTCCTGCGCGGTTTCTTTCAATCAATTTGCAGGCCTGATCGAAAGCTCATGGTTTTCCTATCATTTGTTGAGAATCAGTATCATTTTTAGCCTTTTATTTGAGATCATCTAGATCTTGTGGGAAGGCTGACAACATTCTAGGTTGTGTTGAAATACAATCTCAGACCATTAATTGCTGAGAAGTGATTAGAACGGAAACCTTTGGCTGCCTGTAAAAATATTTTCTTAGCTGGTAATCCTTTGAGACCAGATCCATGAATGACTGGTTCCATCCACTTACCACCCAACGATCTCGCTCTCTTAGTTTTGAATGCATATCTTTTATGTACCCATCACATCTTTTCTATAATGAGATGGCACATCAACTCCAATGTCGCAGGGTGCATCAGAAAAGCCCGAGCCATCAACCTCCATTACCACCTCTGAGGATATTAAAGACGAGAACGAGGCCGATTCAGGAGTAAAAACGGAAGCATTTGACGCCGCAGTTCCCGAGAAGGAAAGTCTGGGTGGGAGCTCTGAGATCCAGCCGTCTGGTTTCCCTTCCTCTGAAACACAGAACAAGAATGTCAACGCTCCGATGGTCGCATCTCGGCCTTCATTTTATCGCGGTAATGGAGACTCGAACCTTCTGGGGCCTTCCTTTTTATCAGGTCGAATGTACTCGGGACATCTACAATACTCCGGAAGCGTCTCCCTACGTTCGGACAGCAGCACCACAAGCACCCGCTCCTTCGCGTTTCCCGTGTAAGCAAATATAAACCCCCCCTCCTCCCCATTTCTTCGCTTTCTTGTCCTCTGATCGAGTTCTGCTCTCTTTCTCTTCTCCATCGTCGCAAGGTTCTTGGCAATCCTGAAGCGGGGTTTTCATTATTTCTACGAGTTCGATCTGATTCTGTCCATTTGATGAATTCAGAATCCCCAACCCATTTTTTCTTCTTGTTCTTGTTCTTGAACAACTAATTTCTGTATGGTAAACATATCATAAGTTGATCATTCAAACGATTTAACTTTCATCATGTATGGATTTATCATCGCACAGACTAACGATACTCATTTTATTATAGTTTCTTTTTTTATGGAAATAAGTCGATCTATTGTGTTATGTTTTGGAGAGCAGACTGCAATCCGAGTGGAACAGCAGCCCGATAAAGATGGTGGAGGGGGGGCGGTTCAGGCGGCGTCGGGGGTGGGGATCGGGGTTCTTCTGCTGTAGGTCCTGAGCCGAGCTCGCTCATCCTACCCATCATTCTTCTGGTCTGCCGTCTTCTCTCTCTTGTTGCTGTATACTCTCTCTCTCTCTCACTCTCTCTTTCTCTGCGGAATTAGGGTTCTTGAGTGTGGTGTAGATTTCTGAAGCGACCCCGCCCTTCAACTTGTGCAGTCTGATGCGGCGGGGTGTGTGCGTGTGTGTTTCTAAGGCATGTAAGTAGCTATTTTTATCGATATTCATGTTCGGAGACTTCCTCCTGTTGCGGGTTCTGCTCTCCAGCCTGTTTCCTCTCTCTGTCTCTCTAGCTGCAATCTTTCAACGGGTATGTGAGGAGCCTTTCTCCCTTTTCTCCCAAGGGCCAATGCCCTCTTCTCCCTTTTCCCTCTCATAATCTTTGCAGATATTGGCTGGAGAGAGAGAGAGAGAGGAGTATTTGAAGCGGAAAAACAGGTTATTAGTATTTCGGCTGATTTTGCCGTCGATGAAAGCCAAATAATTTAGTCAAATATTAAAATACTGTGCGTGCGTTCGGGGGGTCGGCTCGGCTCGGCTCCGAATCGGCCGATTATACGAATCGCTGTTCTTGAAGCATAAGCAATATTGGGTCGTGGGCGACGACCACGTACCCCCTCTCTCTCTCTCTCTCTCTACTCCTTCGAATACTTTGGAGTAGGCGGTGCCTTCCCGCGGGCCCCACACAGCAGCCACGACCACCGGCTCGACCTGACCAGGGGAGAACCGCCATGGATGCCTACTTTATATAAGCAACTAGGATCTATCTCTGATCGGCTTTTTCTTTCTCTTCTTTTTCTCCCTCTACTCTCTCTCTCCCTTCCCCTTCTTCCGGGCATTGGGGCTTCTAGAGCTCCGAGAGACCTCTTCTGGAGGCACATTAAACCCTCTCCAAGAGAATTCTTCACCCCCCTTACCCCCGCTGGGGGCCGGAGTTCCGCCGGGCATCATGGCGGGGATCTCCCAGCTGCTGCAGATTCTGCGCGACGAGAAGAGGACCCCGATGCTGGTCGCCCAGAAGCTCCGGTCGGATTCCGCCCGAAAGGGACTGCGGAACTTCCTTCGCGTCCTCCGGAGCGGGATCGAGGTCGGCGAGGGTGGGAGGCTGGGGGTCGAGAGCTGGAGCCGACAGCAGATCGAGGCCACGGTGTCGGTTGCCAGGCCGATCATCGCCGCCAGTCTCTCCACTCCTGGTGGGGATGCGCTTCCGTTCCGTCTCGTTTAGTATTGCGATGCCAGTTTGGTTCCGTGCTTACATTATTTTTTTTTATTTTTTACCTTTCGTGGCATTTGTGGTCAGTTGAGAACGCCGAGCCAGTGGTGCTAGCGATTCTCGGGGATTCTATTGAGCTATGTACATGCTTGTTGGAGAAATCAACGTTCGAGAGCGATAATTTTAGTTTGCAGGTTCGCGTTTTAACCTTTAAATGTGTACAAAATATGTTTCCAAGTATTGAGGTATCAGCTGATTGTTTGATGGCATTTATTTTCGTATTTACTGATCAACCTTTTGCTTACCCAAATATGCTGCTTCATAGGTATTATGTCTGCCTTTAATTTTTTCGTCTAGTATTATCAAATGCGTCAATTATTTTAGAAGACATCGCATTGTACGTTTGCAGCATCCAAAGTGATGATTATTCGGAAATTCCTGCTTCATTTCATGCATACGTAGTCTTGAGCTGTTAGGAATATCAATTTCTCAATCCTTTGAACAAATATATCGTTTTTGGTGCTTATTTTGATTTTTACTGCTGTTGACTGATGAGAACTTCTTATTCTTCACATTTATAACCGAATGCAACTTTTACAGTATATATAGCTCTGGGAGAGTTTCTCTCGTACTATCTTTATATAGGTCTTGCAATATCTATAAGGCCTAAAAATTAAGCACGCATAGGAAGGGCTTTAAAAAAAAAACGGAGTGAAGACATGGTACTAGAAAAATAAAACTTCCTAAAAAGTTTCTAACAGCCCTAAGCACTGGAAAGTGTAAATATCATGGAAAGAAGATATATTTAGGAATATATCTCTGAACATATCTCATGATGAGTCTACATTTGCAGCAGCCAAATATATGATTATACTGGCATTCCTACTTCATTTCTTCAATAAGGAGTTTTGAGCAAATAGGAGTATCCATTTCTTAATCCTTTGTTCATGCTCATTGTTTTTTGTGCTTATTTGGATTTTTACTACTGTTGAGTATTAATGATTTGCGATTCGCTTTATGTTTGTATATGAATTCCTTTTTTTAGTTATTCAAAGTTGTGGATTACTATTTTACACGATCATACTTTTTCATTATCACCCTTACTGTAAAATTTCATTTGTGGCCATTCTATCAAAATGATATCTCAGCAGGGCGAGGTTTTTGTTTATTGGTAATGCTTATTTCATGACAATGCCAAAGATGGAAGTGTGCCAGCTTTGGCTTTAAACCATACCCCAACTTTTCAAACTGCCATTCATGATATATCCTGGAATGTTGTTTGATCGCATCCTTGCATTACATTCTCCATAATGGGTACCTTTGACTGGCCAGTGCTTGTCATAATCTAGAATTGCTTCAACAATCGCTAGATTAGTTATGAGCAAGGACAATGTTGGCTTCTATCATACATTTTTGTTTCATTGTAAAGTTTACGGTGAAAGGTCACCGTTGTAACTAAATAAAGGGGTTTTTTATGGGTCTTCTGAAACCTCTTGTTGTAAGAGTCATTGGAAAGGAAAACACACAAGATTGTAAAAGTAGTGAGAAGATTGGTCTTTGAATTTTTACAAGTTAGGGTTTGTTCCTTGCTTTTGACGGAGTTGGGTTCTTCATGGATTCTGAGCCATCTTGACTATACAGTAGGACTATGAAAACCAGCCATACCGACTACAGAGCAACTAAAATCCAACAACGTGGTAAAACAGGATATGAAATCAGAAAAGCTCTCAGAAAAAGACCATTAATGTAACTTGTCACTTGTAGATCTGTGTACTTGCTCATCTTTTCTATCTCATTCGTGAAGAACTCATATAACCACCTCGTGTCCTCCAGAAGCTGAGGACTGCTATTTTTCATTTTAAAGTCCTCTGGATAGCTAATCCCGTAAATTTATTGGAGAGTGCATACTACTCCCTTTCCCAAACCTGATATTCTGCAGTTTTTCACTTTTAAGGCCAAAGATGATCTTACAATCTCTAAGTTCTCGCAGTTTTTTTTCCATGTACCAGAAAACTGCAATGGAGACCTAGGAGCTGCATTCCATGTGCTCCTACTTTTTTACGCTTTGTCACTGTGATGTTTACCTGAAGTGCATGCTTATCTTGCCTATCCCTGCCTGGCCATATCGCCGACAGATCTTTATGGAAATTTCAATATTGAAAAATGGACAGCGTTCTCTCTTTGTCTTTTACAAAATACTCTCCGAATTTGAGAGAGATTACTCTTTTGTCTTTGCATCCATCTTTCCAAGAGAAAGAGAGTGTGATTAGTTGTTTCTATTTTTTATGATTTTTTTTTAAGATTTGAAGTTCTTGGAAAATCCAGAATTGATTGTAGATATTTTTTTAAACTCTAAAAATAGAATACAGATGTTCATGTACTCTAGGATGCTGTAGACTATGCTTGTGCCAATCTGCGTAATGTGACAGATTAAAAATTTTCTCAATAAAAATGTTTGTAATCCACCGTTCTCTTAGTCTACAACTAATAAAAGTGAGCACCTTTGACAACTCTCGCTCCTGAATGGCTGTGATGATCTCTCCATTCAGAAGGATAATGATCCTATAATCATTTAGCCTGTCTGGTCCAGCATTCTTTGGTTCCAAATACTGAAAATATCTTGGAATGAACCTCAGTTGTTGTTTCCATGCTTATTTAACGAAGTATCAGCTTTTATTTCTTGAGGTGGAAGCACATTTTAGGAGGGGTCCGGGATAAAATGAGTGATTCTCCAATCTCACACTATAATTGGCATCACCTGCCCTCTCCTCAATAACAGTAAACCCATTTAAGTCTAGTGTGTGTAACAGGGCTGATCAGATTTTCGTAAAGTTCCTTCTTCCGTTTTATTTTTTGTGGGGCTGATGACCCCATTTTTTATAGTATTCTAGGAAACAGACTTGTAGCAGCCTTCAGTATGCCAGGAACATCTGGGTGAAAGCCAATAACTACAAAAGAAGGGAAATCTTAGGCAACTATATGCCGTTCCATTCCACCTTCTCATATCTCTCCTTCATTTATCCGCACATCTCATTATTTGGTTCTTCACGTTTCGAAGTTTTCCTTTAGTCTCTGGATATCTGATCTAATGTAATTATGTTCGAGCTCCTTGCTAATATTTTTAAATTTATCATTTGAGAATCGGATCCTTCTAATTTAAAATGTTCTCAAGGAAATAATATCCATTGCAACTTCGTTCCACTACACACACTATAATTTTAACTAGTCATTTTTCTTGAACTTCGTTTTTGACTTCTGATTTATTTTTACTACTTTGATTTGGCAGAATGCCCTCATAGAAGTATTAGAGATAGCATTAGTTGAAGGAAAGATGAAGGATTTTGAAGCATGTAAACATCCTGGTGATACTATTGAAGAATCATTGCCTATTACTTCTGTTGACCTGGATTTTATGGAACTAGATGACTACCCCAAATATAATTTTCGAGGTATTGGTACTCCATTGTCCCCTAGAACTACATTCTACTTTACATTCGAACTGTATTTTCCTGACGCTTGGAGTTGTCTTACATTTGAGTTAGGTGTTGACTGCTTGAAGAGCCAGAATCCAAGGGATAGCGTCTTGATGGTCCTGACTTCGGATTGCTTTACAGGGTTTACTGAACAGTCATTTCCCAAATCGTTCAATAGTGTTTTTTCTTTATCTCAGTACTGGGCAGTTTCTCATGTAAAATGCTTATCTCGCCTCCTCATGCTTTCGAAGGAATGGTTTCTGCCTTCAAGTACTTGCAAACAGCAGGCAGAAGATGTTACTTTTTGTTTGAAATTGTCCTTAAGTTTAAGGGTCCTCAAATTGTTGATTAATCTTACGAAGGATATTCCCCTAGTTGGTTTTGATGCGGACTTGCTCTGTATAGTTGCGTGCATTGCTGATGGCCTGCCAAATCTGTTTAAACTGGAGTCAGAACTTTCCGAGTGTGAATCAAGCACTGCGCAGAATAGTTTTTGGAGTCTCTTATTGAATCTGCTAGAAGAATTTCTTCAATTTGTTCAAATTGCTTTTTGTGACAATGTAGTGTATCACAATGTTCGGACGAGTATGGCTGCTTCAATTTTGGGTGCCTTAGATTCCGGTTTATGGAGGTATAACAGTTCAGGCTCCTCTCTGAGGCCCCCAGTAGCTTACTTCCCTCAGGTTGTGATGCACCTGCTGAAGCTCATAGGGGAGATTAAGAATCAGAAATCACAGTTGCTTGACACAAAGAAGGTTAATGTTCAAATGCCAGACTCTTTATCTAGCTGTGAGTCTCATATTTTCTCATGCCATGTTAATTCTGAGGTGTCTCTGCTTCGGAGCTACACAACTGAAGAACATCTGAGAATAATATTCCCGTCATCAAGAGAGTGGGTGGATGACTTTGTGCACCTGGTTTATTTCCTTCATTCCGAAGGAGTACGTTCCAGGATTAAGACTGATATAATGCGTCTAACTTGTGCGAAGTCTATTGTTTCTGACCTGGACAGCACAACAAGTCATGAGGAGGAGGCCATTTTTGGAGATCTTTTTTCTGAAGCTTCTCGACCTGTGGGATCATCAGATGGGCATGATCAACTGCCTATTATTGCAGCTGGGTTCTCCAGTAGTCTTCATGTGCCTGTCATAGCAGCAGCAATTGAACTACTGAACTTCTTGAAATTGTGTATCTTCTCTCCGGATTGGAATTATACAATTTTCTCTGACGCCTGCAAAAAGTTCAGCGACCATCATATCGACAACTTACTTTCAATGCTTCTCTGCCAAACCTATCCTGATGACAGGCCTGCTAATATTAGTGGTGCTTCCACATCTCAAGGAACTCTTGGTCATGCTAATGAAGTTTGCTTTGAGCTGCTGCATAATCTTCTAGTGCATCATGTTTTGTCCACTTCTCTTGAAGAGCACCTTGTGGACCAGATACTGATGGTGAACAATGGCAAATATATGTACAATGACTACACCCTTGCCTTGCTCGCGCATGCTCTTATTTCCACAGCAGGATTGAGTGGAAGCCATCTAGCGACCAACATATACAAGGCGTATGGCAACTATATCATTGAGAGAACAAAAGAAATCTTCAGTGGATGCCCTGAACTCACTGAACTCTTTGGAACTCTGCCTAATATTTTCCACATAGAAATACTTCTGATGGCTTTCCACTTGTCTAATGAGGTTGAGAAATCTGCTCTTGCAAGTTTTGTGCTACTTTCTCTCAGGGAGGTAAATAGTCCTCCAGAAGGATGTAGCACAAAACAACTCTCTTGCTGGGCATTGTTAGTGTCCAGACTCATTCTGCTTCTACGTCATTTGGTTTTGCATCCAGCTACATGTCCTTCATGGTTGCTTTTGAGGTTGAGATCAAAATTGAGAGAGTCATCCTCTAGGTCATGTTTTTCCCATAATTCCATTGAAAGCTATTCTTCCTGGGTATCAATAGAAACAGGAAAGATTTTGGGAGATCATGTCAGTGAGCTACCGGTTGTAAATTCCTTGCTTCCTCATCTAATTGATGTAGCTGCATTCCAACTCCCTGCTTCACTCTGTAGAGATAATGATGATTTCCAGCTATTGAGTCTTGATTGTAATGATATGTTTGCCACCTTTTCTTGGATCCTGAGATTCTGGGGTAGTAGAAAAGCTGAAGCTGTAGAAGATCTCTTGCTTGAAAGATATCTATTTATGCTCTGCTGGGATACTTGGCTGTGTGTTGGTTCCTTTTGCAGTCAGTTTCAGTTGAAAAGCGACTCTGAGATTCAGTTGTCATCAATGCCAGAATCTTTCCTCAATTTTGGTAATTTTTTGTTAAACCATAATGCAATTACATCTGAGGGTACCAATCCATCAGCAGTAGTAATGCAAGTCCTGCAGCAGCTGCACTCTGCACAGGTACTGGATTGTAATCTAGATCAAGGCTGGGATTTTCTAAGAAATGGGTCATGGTTGTCTCTCGTGCTTTCTGTGCTTCATGCTGGCGTTTGGATGTACTCTGTTAGAAATGACCTTTCTGGGATTGACTCCTTCTGGATTGAAAACAGCACAAAGGACTGTAAGTTCTTGAATGCTGCTGAAGGCACAGTTATATCACTAACTGAGTCGGGTAAACTTGGATGGCTGTTAAATTTTTTGTTGTCTTGTTTAAAGCAACAGTTGCAGATTTTTCAAGAAGCCTTTCTTTATGTCCTTGATGGTAAACGAGACCATCGTGATGGATTTTCTAGTCTATTGCTATTTAAAAATGTGTTAGTTGTTGGACGCGGACAAAATGATATACTTGAGAAGTGTAGTTCCAAAAATTTCCAGATGAACTCTATGTTTTGCCTTTTATCAAAGCTTGACGAGGTCGCTATCATGGAAAACACAGGGATAACTGCAAGAGTACTTTATAGATGCTTGTTGCATGGTTTTCCATCACATTCAAATATTTCCAGTGGGTTACTTTTCTCATGTATCCTTACAGTGAGAGACATCATATATACTGTTGATGGGTTACTTAAAATAAAATCTTTTATTGGAGATACTCATTTTGATGGAAATATGATTCATGAAATTCTCGAGTCCATAATGACCATAAAGTCGGACGTTATTTTTCGCAGTATTCATGGAAAATGTGATTCTATTTATGGTAGTATTGCTCCAAGCTTGGATGGGAGCTTGGACTACAGTTCTCTGTATGAACTGAAGCACATCTTGGGCTTTCTTTCAGAATTAAATTGTCATGATGTCACTGATGCTTCTATACATGAAACATTGATTATAGCAGCTCTCGACAAAGCAGAGTGCCTCAGGAGAGATCAGTCCAAAGCTGATGTTTTCAATTTTTTTCTTGGCACCGGACAAAATGCCTTTAAAGCAGTGGAGAAATATATTGAGGGAAAATGTTTTAATTTTTTTATTTTATTTAATGCACTGGAGAAATGTTCTTCTGAAACCGTCAACCTGAAAGTTCTGAGTTTCTTGGTCGATCTTCTGACTGGCACTTCTCTTTATCCTGGGTTCAAAGAGGCACTACAAAAGAGGTTGCTTGAAATTGACTTGTCAAGTATGTCCCTGTGGTTGGAAAAGAGACTCCTTGGATACTGCGTGGAATCCCCTGGGGGTGTTATATCAAGAGAAAGTTCTGCAGCTCTAAGGGAGTCGACCATGAATTTCCTTTCATGTATAATCTCTCAACCATGTGAGATGATGTCCAGGGAACTTCGCAGTCGATTTGTTGAGGCAATGCTTTTGTCTCTTGAGAATGCGTTTACACTGTATGACCTCAACACTGCCAAAGCATTTTTCACTTCTCTGGTTCAACTATTGGGTGGGGAGTCTCCAACGAAAAAGTTCTTGGAGAGGATCTTGTTGCTGATTGAGAAATTAGCTGAACGTGAGGATTTGCTGCCAAATTTGAAGTTTCTCTTTAGTTTTCTTGGGGCTGTTCTTGGTGATTCTGGAGCCAGTAAGAATGTGACTAATAAAATTTCTGAAAAGCTTTCCTCCAGTAGTAGCTTTGGGGTTGAATCTTTAGTTTCGAGGCAGATTAGTAGAAAGAATCCTGAGGCATTGGCTCTTCCACGCAATCAAGAAACAGATTCCACAAATGTCGATTGTGATGCAACATCTGGAGATGAAGATGAAGATGATGGAACATCTGATGGTGAGTTGGCCAGTGTAGATAAGGAGGATGAGGATGATAGTAACAGTGAGAGGGCACTTGCTTCCCAGGTATGCACTTTTACATCTAGTGGCAGCAATTTTATGGAGCAGCACTGGTATTTTTGTTACACATGTGATTTAACTGTTTCTAAAGGATGCTGTTCAGTGTGTGCCAAGGTTTGCCATCGTGGTCACCGTGTTGTATATTCTCGTTCTAGCAGATTTTTCTGTGATTGTGGGGCAGGAGGTGTTAGGGGCAGCAGTTGTCAATGTCTGAAGCCCAGAAAATTTGCTGGCGGCAGTAATTCTACAGTTCGTAGCAGTACTAGCTTCAAATCTCTGTTACCATTCTCAGAAGACGGTGATCAGGCTCCAGAAAGTGATTCGGATTTGGATGGTGATGTGCATGCAGATGTTGATAGTTCATTCAAATTCTCTATTCCACGAGAGATGTTAGAAGTTCTCCCTACCCTTCTTGAAGATGTTGATACTGAGAAACATGTGCTTAGACTTTGCAGTAAATTAGCCCCGGCAGTGATCAGCAAGCGTGAATCCAACCTTTCGAAGGAGAAGAAGGTAGTATTGGGTCATAATAAAGTGGTGTCTTACAATACTGATGTTTTTCAATTGAAGAAAGCTTTTAAGGGTGGATCATTGGATCTGAAGATCAAGGCAGACTATGCCAATTCACGGGATCTTAAATCACACTTAGTAAGTGGTTCACTTGTAAAATCACTGCTTAGTATCAGCACTCGAGGTAGGCTTGCTGTTGGAGAAGGAGACAAAGTTGCCATTTTTGATGCCAGCCAGCTAGTTGGACAGCCCGCTGTAGCCCCAGTATCAGCAGATAAGAGCAGTGTGAAGCCTGTTTCAAGGAATATTGTTCGATTTGAAATAGTTCATCTCCTATTCAATCCCATTGTAGAAAATTACCTAGCTGTTGCAGGGTACGAGGAATGCCAGGTTCTTACTTTGAATTCACGTGGTGACGTCACCGATCGTCTTGCTATTGAGCTTGCTTTGCAGCATGGCTATATTCGGCGTGTGGATTGGGTTCCTGGTTCGCAGGTTCATCTGTTGGTCGTTACCAACATGTTTGTCAAGATATATGACCTATCGCAGGATAATATTAGTCCTGTCCACTATTTTACTTTAACAGATGATGTGATTGTAGATGCTTCAATTGTTACAGTTTCTATGGGAAGACTTTGTATTCTTGTTTTAGCAGAACTTGGATCCTTATTCAGACTAGAGTTGTCCGTGGAAGGAGATGTTGGAGCGAAACCATTGAATGAGGTTATCCGTGTCCAGGGCAGAGATGTGCAACCCAAAGGTCACTCATTATATTTCTCTCCAGTGCATAGGTTGCTTTTCTTGTCCTATCAAGACGGAACTACATTGATAGGGCGGCTCGATGCCAGTGCAATGTCATTTACTGAGATGTCAGCTATATATGAAGATGAGGAAGATGGCAAAACTAGGCCAGCCGGTCTGCATCATTGGAGAGAATTACTTATTGACAATGGAGTTTTTGTTTGCTTCTCAAGCATCAAATCTAATGCTGCTTTGAGTATATCATTTGGAGATTGTGAATTAGTCGCACAGAACATGAGATACGTATCAGGCCCAGTTTTACCTTTGGTGGGGATCACTGCTTACAAGCCCTTATCGAAAGACAAATCGTATTGCCTTGTTTTACAAGACGATGGCAGCCTCCAGATTTACTCTCATGTTCCTGTTAGTACTGATGTCACGGGAAATCTGAACTTGGACAAAGCTAAGAAGTTAGGGGCTGGTATATTAAATAGTAAAGTTCATGCTGGAATGAGCACAGATTTTCCCCTGGATTTTTTCGAGAAAACAATTTGTATTACAGGTGACATAAAGCTGAGTGGAGATGCAATAAAAAATAATGATTCTGAAGGTGCCAAGCAAAGACTTCAGTCTGAAGATGGATTCTTGGAGAGTCCCAGCCCTTCAGGATTCAAGGTACACAACGTATTTGACTGGGGTTCTGCGATACTATTTCATAATTTGTTTTTCTCATCCGTTCTAAGATGGCTTCTTGTATCATGCCGTTTTCTTCCCCTTGGCTAGCATGAACTTTCTGTTTCTAACTTATTGACCTTCTTTAATTGTCATACCAGATTACCGTGTCAAATCTAAATCCTGATGTGACAATGGTTGGTATTCGCGTACAAGTGGGCAATATTTCAGTTAATCTTATCCCAGCCGACATTACAGTCTTCCAAAGAGTAATTAAGTTGGATGAGGGCATGCGATCGTGGTATGATATTCCATTCACGACTTCTGAGTCGCTTGTTTCCGATGAGGAGTTCACAATCTCCATTGGTCCAACTTTTGATGGATCCTCAGTACCTAGAATAGATTCATTGGAGATATATGGTCAGTCTAAAGATGAATTTGGTTGGAAACAGAAAATGGAGGCTGTTCTAAATATGGAAACCCATGCTCTCGGAGCTAATTATGGCATTACAGCTGTTCGAAAAAAATGCCAGACAATGCAAGCTGCTTCTGTTCAAGAGCAGGTGTTAGCGGATGCTCTCAATCTTCTTTCTAGGTTATACTCATCATGCAGGTCATGGACTTGTTCAGAAGTTGAGGAAGCCAATCTGGAGCTTAGCAAAGTCAAATGCAAGGATTTACTGGAAACAATATTTCAAAGTGACAGGGAGCCATTGTTACAGACTGCTGCTTCCCATGTTCTTAAGTCCATTGTCCCTAGGAGGGAAATTTACCATCATGTAATTATGCAGTCCTTCTAGTAACTAGTTTGTTGTTATGGTTACATTTGGATCTATTTCATACTAATTTTATTTTTTCTTGCAGGTTAAGGATACTATGCGCCTGTTAGGTGTAATAAACACCTTGCCTAGATTGAGGTCTAGAATTGGTGTAGGAGGTGCTGCAGCTGGTTGGGTGATAAAAGAATTCATGGCACAATTGCGTGCTGTATCAAGAATTGCTTTACATCGAAGATCTAACATGGTCTCGTTTCTTGAAACTCATGGTATGCTTTAACCAATAATTTCAATTTCCAAATGGGAAGAAACCGATGTTGAGGATGGACCATAATCATGATCCATGCCGTTCTTACATCTTAGGAGGCAAGGTACTAATAGTAATGTTAACTGATATTTAAACCGAATGAAATTGATGAATACAGAATGGAATAAGCAGACATTTAGTTTAAGAGCTTAATTTTAAGACATCCTATGTGGATACCAAATATTTAAAAACTGAATTGATTTTTTTTGTTTTATATTGAATAAATTCTTATCCCCGTGGAGAACCTTTAAGATTAAGTTTTTTGTAGTCTTTTCTCCGAAGTTGGTTTTTATCATGCTACTGAGGAACGAAAAGTGGGTGCAGAATGTTGTGTACGTCTTTCTTTTCTGAAAGCTTGAGAGTAGCTTTAGGGGCTCCGATCGTTGAGCCTCTGGGTGGGAGCATGTGAAAGATTTGATTTGTAAAGAAAAAACATTGTCACAATTTCGTAGTTTGCTGTTAATTTACAACATACCCTGACAATGGTGTCTATATGATTAGGTTCTGAAGTAGTGGATGGATTAATGGAAGTTCTCTGGGGAATTTTGGACTTGGAGCGACCAGATACACAAACTGTTAACAACATAGTCATACCATCTGTGGATCTGATCTATTGTTATGCGGAATGCCTTACTTTGCATGGAAGTGTTGCTTCTGGATGCTCCGTTGCGGCTGCTGCTGTGTTACTTAAGAAGCTGCTCTTTGCACCCTATGAAACGGTTCAAACTGCTAGCAGGTTATTATATTCCACTGTGACCTCTCCATGCTACTGTTCTTAGATTTTTTATAGATTCTTATTCCTCCCTTTCTTCTGCGTTTTATTTTTTAATGTTTTGTTTTTCAGTTTAGCTATATCATCAAGGTTGCTTCAGGTTCCATTTCCCAAGCAGATGATGTTAGCTCCAGATGATGCTGGAGAGAATGTTGCAGCAGCAAATGTGCCTTCTGATGTATCTCCTGCAACAGGTGGGAATGCACATGTCATGATTGAAGAAGATGCTAATATATCTTCAGTTCAATATTGTTGCGATGGATGTTCAACAGTCCCTATACTTAGGCGTCGGTGGCACTGTAATGTTTGTCCAGATTTTGACTTATGTGAGACCTGCTATGAACTTCTGGATGCAGATCAGCTCCCTCCACCACATTCTAAGGATCACCCGATGTCAGCAATTCCTATTGAGATCGATTCAGTTGGAGGTGACGGTCGTGGAGTCCTGTTCGCAATGGATGAACTCAGTGATACTAACTTAATCCAGGTTGCTACAGATATCAATATGCAGAACTCACCTTCCTCTATTCATGTATCAGAGTCTATCGAATCTGGGGATTTTCCTCCCGAGGATCAGAGGTTTGTTTCAATTTCTGCATCAAAGAGAGCTGTGAACTCACTGCTGCTCCAACAGTTAATTTCTGAGCTCAAAGGATGGATGGAGACAACTCCTGGGTTTCGAGGTATTCCTATCATGCAGTTGTTTTATCGACTGTTCTCTGCTGTCAGTGGACCTTTTATGGATAGCTCACAACCTGAAAACTTGGATCTCGAAAAAGTTGTCAAATGGTTATTAGATGAAATTAAACTGAGTAGGCCGTTTGTCGTCAAGGGGCGTACAAGTTTTGGTGAAGTTACCATACTCGTATTCATGTTCTTTACTCTAATGCTTCGAAATTGGCACCAACCTGGCGGTGAGAGCTCCCAAGTGAAGTCAGCTGCAGTTGCCGAGACACAAGAAAAAGGTTCTTTTCACATTCCATCAAACAGCTCTTTTTTCTCTCGCTCCAGCGATGATCAAGAAAAAAACGAATTTGTTTCTCAGCTCACCCGTGCCTGTTCTTCCTTGAGACAACAAGCTTTTGTCAACTATTTAATGGACATTTTGCAGCAACTCGTCTGGGAGTTTAAGTCCTCACGTGGTAGTGTTGATAACAGTCATGGCTTATCCACTCATTCAGGATGCGGATCCCTTTTAACAATTAGAAAGGAGATTCCGGCTGGAAATTTCTCTCCTTTTTTCTCTGATTCTTATGCAAAAGCTCATAAATCAGATCTATTTATGGATTACCACAGGTTGCTGTTAGAGAACACTTTTCGCCTGGTGTATGGTCTTGTCAGACCTGAAAAGCATGACAAGTGTTTGGTTAAGGAGAAAACCCACAGAAATTCTTCTGGTAAGGAATTGAAACTTGATGGGTATCAAGATGTTCTGTGCGGTTATATTTGCAACCCACACACGACATTTGTACGGAGGTATGCTAGAAGACTTCTACTACATTTGTGTGGGAGCAAAACGCAATACTATCAGGTGAGAGATTCCTGGCAGTTCTCAAATGAAGTGAGAAAACTTTACAAACTTGTAAATAAGTCCAGTGGCTTCCAGAATCCTGTCCCATATGAGACAAGTGTTAAACTGGTCAAGTGCTTGTCTTCTATATCTGAAGTAGCTGGAGCAAGACCTCGGAATTGGCAAAAGTATTGCATCAAACATGGGGATATTCTCTCCTTTTTGACGGATGGAATCTTCTGTTTTGGTGAAGAATCAGTAATCCAGACACTTAAGCTTTTAACTTTGGCCTTCTACACTGGCAAGGACACTTCTCCCGCTGCACTGAAGGCAGAAGCCGAGGATGGAACGGGCTCTAGTAAAGTGGGTAGTCAGTCCTCTGATTCAAAGAAGAAGAGAAAGGGGGATGATGGAAGTGAAACTGGTTCAGAGAAGTCTTATCTGGATATGGAGCAGGCTGTTGGTATTTTCTATGCAAAAGAAGGTTCTGTTCTGCAGCGTTTTATTGATTCCTTTTTACTTGAGTGGAACTCAACAAGTCTGCGTGCCGAAGCCAAAAGTGTCCTCTATGGAATTTGGCATCATGGGAAAAAACCATTTCAGGAAACTTTGCTTACTGCTCTGTTAGAGAAGGTGAAAATTCTGCCAATGTATGGACAGAACACCGTGGAATACACTGAACTGCTGATTTCGCTGTTGGGAAAGGTGCCTGATGGCAGTGGGAAGCCACATGAAGCAGAAGTTATAAATCAGTGTCTTACACCGGATGTGATAAATTGTATATTTGAAACACTTCATTCTCAGAATGAACTCTTGGCTAATCATCCAAATTCACGTATATATAGCACTCTAGGTGGTTTAGTGGAATTTGATGGTTACTACCTGGAAAGTGATCCTTGTATTGCATGTAGCTGTCCTGAGGTGCCTTACAGCAGGATGAAGCTTGAAAGTTTGAAATCCGAGACAAAGTTTACTGATAACCGGATAATAGTGAAATGCACTGGGAGCCACACTATTCAGACTGTGACTATGAATGTCCATGACGCTCGTAAGTCTAGATCAGTAAAAGTTTTGAACCTATACTATAATAATACACCTGTTGCTGATCTATCAGAATTGAAAAACAATTGGTCAATGTGGAAGCGCGCCAAAAGTTGCCACCTGGCTTTCAACCAGACAGAGCTGAAGGTTGATTTTCCGATTCCAATCACAGCCTGCAATTTCATGATCGAGCTTGATTCTTTCTATGAAAGTCTCCAAGCTTCCTCTCTCGAGTCCTTGCAATGCCCTCGTTGCAGCAGATCTGTCACTGATAAACATGGCATCTGCAGTCACTGTCATGAAAATGCATATCAGTGTAGACAATGCCGTAATATAAACTATGAGAATTTGAATTCTTTCCTTTGCAATGAGTGCGGGTACAGCAAGTATGGTCGTTTTGAGTTCAATTTTATGGCAAAACCTAGTTTTGTGTTCGATGACATTGAAAACGATGAAGACATGAAGAAAGTGCTGGCAGCTATTGAATCAGAATCAGAAAATGCTCATCGGAGGTACCAGCAGCTTCTTGGCTTCAAGAAACCCCTGCTTAAGCTTGTATCGAGCATTGGTGAACATGAGATCGACTCACAACAGAAGGACACCGTCCAGCAGATGGTGGTCTCCTTGCCTGGTCCGTCATGTAAGATCAACCGGAAAATCGCTCTCCTCGGAGTTTTGTACGGCGAGAAATGCAAAGGTGCCTTTGATTCTGTCAGCAAGAGTGTGCAGATGCTTCAAGGCCTTCGTCAGGTGTTGATGAGCTACCTGAACCAGAAAGGCTCCGATAAAACAGTACCTCCCTCCAGATTAGCAGTCTCAAGGTTGCCAAACAACTGTTATGGTTGTGCCGCTACATTTGCCACACAATGTATGGAGTTGCTACAGGTCCTCTCCAAAAATGCCAACTGTCGAAAACAGCTTGTTGGATTGGGCGTCTTGTCAGAGTTGTTTGAAAACAACATACATCAGGGCCCCAAGACGGCCCGTTCCCAAGCAAGGGCCGTTCTCTGTGCTTTCTCTGAGGGTGACGCAAATGCAGTTGCAGAGCTGAACAATTTGATTCAGAAAAAAGTCATGTACTGTCTTGAGCATCATCGTTCGATGGATATTTCGCAGGCAACTCGTGAGGAGCTATTCTTGCTGTCAGAGACCTGTTCATTGGTCGACGAGTCTTGGGAAGCAAGGTTGCGCGTTTCTTTTAAGTTGCTGTTCTCTTCTATTAAGTTTGGGGCCAAGCATCCTGCGATTTCCGAGCACGTTATTCTTCCTTGCCTGAGGATCGTATCTCAGGCATGCACGCCTCCGAAAACTGATAAGTCAGAGAAAGAAGAAGAAACGGGAAAATCCGGTAGCCTGCAATCGAAGAATGACCCTTCTGTCGATTCATCTGTGCCTTCGAGTAAGCTCTCATCAGAGCTGTCTGAAAAGAGTTGGGATGGAGGGAATGGGCAGGATATCCCACTGTTGAGCTATTCTGAGTGGGAAAGGGGGGCTTCGTACCTTGATTTTGTGCGGAGGCAGTACAGATTTTCGCAGTCAGCTAAATCTTTTAAGAGGTCTCGCCAGGAACCACCGAGGAAGGATTACCTTGCTCTTAAGTATGCTCTGAGGTGGAAGCGGATTGCATGCCGAAGAACAGGGAAAAGTGATTTCTCATCTTTTGAGCTCGGATCCTGGATATCGGAGTTGATTCTCAGTGCCTGTTCGCAATCTATAAGGGTGGAGGTCTGCGCTCTCTTTACCTTGCTCTGCCCAGAGAATTCATCTCGGCAGTTCCAACTATTGAACTTGCTGATGACACTGCTACCGGCTAGCTTGTCCGTTGGTGATAGTGCAGCAGAGTATTTTGAGTTGTTCTTCAAGATGATAGAGTCTGAAGCTGCACGGCTGTTCCTGACTGCCAAGGGATGCTTGGCTACACTTTGTAGATTAATAACAGAGGAAGTCAGCAGCGTTGAATCTCAGGAAAGAAGATTGAATATTGACATATCCCAGGGATTCATACTACATAAACTGGTTGAGCTCCTGAGCAAGTTTCTCGAGGTCCCCACCATACGGGTCAGGTATGATAGTTATCAAATTCTTTCTTTGACTTTGATCTTATCTCTAGCCGTTCTGCCTCACAAGATTCATCATTCGTGCTATAGATTTATGCGTGCCGAGCTGATATCACAAATTCTGGAGGCTCTCCTCGTCATTCGGGGCTTGATCCTGCAGAAGACGAAGCTGATAAGCGACTGCAACAGGCTCTTGAAGGAGCTTCTTGATGGTTTTCTGCTTGAGAGCTCCGAAAATAAACGGCTTTTTACGTGCGCTTGTATATCTGGTCTTCAAATTCACTCCAAGGAACGGAAGGGACGAACTTCTCTGGTATGTTACAGTGCATCCTCTTCCTTGTTCTCTAATGTCCGCAAAATGAAATGCTCAGACTTGTTTTCTCTTTGAAACTTCACATCTGCCAATTCTTGTATAATATTTATTCTTCTTCTTTGTAATACGTCACATTTCTCAACATTCATTCTAACGATGGAATTTTGCTCCGCCAGCTCCTTCCCCCTTACACGGTTCATTTTATTGTCATTTGCATTTCAGTACATTGAAATGCTCGATCAGATTCATTTGTTTCTTTCAAAGTTCATAATTTTCTTATCAAGCAATCAAATTCCGATTATTTTTTTTCCTGCAACAGTTCATCTTGGAACAGCTATGCAATGTGATCTGTCCTTCAAAGCCAGAACCCGTCTACCTTTTGAACCTCAACAAGTCGCACACTCAAGAGGAGTTTATAAGGGGTTCCATGACGAAAAATCCCTACTCCAGCAACGAGATTGGTTTGCTGATGAGAGATGTCAAGAACAAAATTTGTAATCAGCTGGACCTTCTGGGTCTTCTCGAAGACGACTATGGCATGGAATTACTCGTAGCTGGGAATATAATTTCTCTTGATCTGAGCATCGCCCAGGTCTATGAACAGGTGTGGAAGAAGTCATACGCTCAGTCACAGAATGCTGTTTCTGGCTCTGCATTATTATCTTCTGTTGGGATCACATCCGGCAGCGAATGCCCGCCTATGACAGTCACATACCGGCTTCAGGTAGATTAAACTCGACACAAAGGTGTTCAGTTCGTCAGGTTTGATTTACTGTGCGGCTATCTAAACACCTCTCTTTAAAACTTTATATTTTGTCATTAGATATCTCAGAACTGTTTATAATTCATCTAAAGATGTTCAGTTCGTCTCGTTTGATTTAGCTGGTCTGGTGTAGAATCCCCCCTAGCCATGATCTCCACTTTTATCGTGCGGCTATCAGACAGAACGGCTTTTTTAAGTTTTGACTTCATTTTTTTCCATGTGATATCGTGGATTTTCTTCCGGTTTTTAAGTTTTGACTTCATTTATTCCAATAACTTTGTTTGCGAGAATCAGCCAAACTGCTACTCCTCAGATCGACATTTCCGATCATTTTGGAGAAGCCATGATCAGTAAAAAATTTGGGTCCCAGTTCATATTAGAAAGCTTCAATCTGACCGCTCGCAATTTCTTCTCCCAGGGCTTGGATGGCGAAGCCACCGAGCCCATGATCAAGGAGCTGGAGGAGGACAGGGAGGAATCGCAGGATCCTGAGGTGGAGTTCGCCATTGCAGGCGCTGTCCGCGAATGCGGTGGGCTCGAAGTTATTTTGAGCATGATTCAGGTTCCCTCTCTCTCTCTCCCTTCCAGAATGATCTGAACCACAATAAATGCTTTTGTAATCGATCTAAATAAACTGTTTGTTCTGCTCTGATGTTGTTTGTTATTTGTTGTTGGTGTTGTCCGCTGGTGGCATCAGCGATTGAGTGAGGAGGATCTGAAGTCGAACCAGGAGGAGCTGAGCTCTGTCCTGAATCTGCTCATGTACTGCTGCAAGATCCGGGAGAACCGGCGGGCGCTGCTGCAGCTAGGTGCCCTGGGGCTGCTCCTTGAGACCGCCAGGCGCGCCTTCGCCGTGGACGCCATGGAGCCCGCAGAGGGTATCCTCCTCATCGTCGAGAACCTCACCATGGAAGCCAACGACACCAACCTCAGCATCACCCAGACGGCGGCGCTCAGGGCCGCCGCCGCCGCCGCCGGCGCCGCCGGTGAGGAGGAGCAGGCCAAGAAGATCGTGCTCATGTTCCTGGAGCGGCTCTCCCACCCCTCCGGCACAAAAAAGTCCCACAAGCAGCAGCGCAACGACGAGATGGTGGCGAGGATCCTCCCCTACCTCACCTACGGGGAGCCCGCGGCCATGGAGGCCCTCATCCAGCACTTCGACCCTTATCTTAGGGACTGGTCCGGCTTCGACCACCTGCAGAGGGAGCACCTGGAGAACCCCCGGGACGAGAGCATGGCCCTGCGGGCGGCGAAGCAGAGGAGCGCCCTGGAGGACTTCGTCAGGGTCTCCGAGTCCCTCAAGACGAGCTCCTGTGGGGAGAGGCTCAAGGACATCATCCTCCACAAGGGCATCACCGGCGCCGCCGTCCGCCACCTGAGGGAGAGTTTCCCACCCTCCACAAGGGCGGCGATGGCCGGCTTCAAGCTGTCGGCGGAGTGGGCGCAGAGCCTGAAGCTGCCCTCCGTCCCCTTGATCCTCTCCATGCTGAGGGGGATCTCCAGGGGTCATCAGCCCACGCAGGCCTGCATCGACGAAGCTGGGCTCCTCCCTCTCCTCCATGCCCTAGAGGGGGTCCCCGGGGAGAGCGAGATTGGAGCAAGAGCCGAGAACCTGCTGGACACTCTCTCCGACAAGGAGACCACCGGCGACGGCTTCCTCGGGGAGAAAGTCCGCAGCCTGCGGCACGCCACCAGGGACGAAATGAAGCGCCGGGCTCTGCGGAAGCGCCAGGAGCTCCTCCAGGTAATCACCCTACTCTTCCTACCCACCATTATCTACCATTCCGAACCAGAGTGTAGGAATATCGAAACACCTTCAGAAGGCATTGGTTGTGAATTTTATTTTTTTTTCTTGGGAAAAATGCGCAGGGCCTGGGGATGCGGCAGGAGGTGGCGTCGGACGGAGGGGAGCGGATAGTGGTTTCCCGGCCGAGCATCGAGGGGCTGGAGGAGGTGGAGGAGGAGGAAGAGGACGGGCTGGCGTGCATGGTGTGCCGGGAGGGGTACTCCCTGCGGCCGGGGGACGCGCTGGGCGTGTACTCGTACACGAAGCGGGTGAACCTCGGCGCGGGGAGCGCGCGGGGGGACTGCGTCTACACTACGGTGAGCCACTTCAACGTGATCCACTTCCAGTGCCACCACGAGGCCAAGCGGGCGGACGCGGCGCTGAAGAATCCCAAGAAGGAGTGGGAGGGGGCGGCGCTGAGGAACAACGAGACACTCTGCAACAGCGTCTTCCCCCTCAGGGGCCCCTCCGTCCCCCTCCCCCAGTACCTCCGCTACGTCGACCAGCACTGGGAGAACCTCGCCGCCCTCGGCCGCGCCGACGGCAGCCGCCTCCGCCTCCTCACCTACGACATCGTCCTGGTATATATATCTCCCACTATTGCCGCTCCTGGTCCTCTTCCCTCTTCACTTCCGCCGGTGTGTGTTTGACTGGACTGACTGACTGACTGACTGCTCTTCCTTGCTCTGTTCTTGTAGATGCTGGCGCGGTTTGCGACGGGGGCGTCGTTCAGCGCGGACAGCAGGGGCGGAGGGAAGGAGAGCAACGCGCGGTTCCTGCCCTTCATGGTGCAGATGGCCGCCCACCTGCTGGAGCAGGGGAGCTCCTCCGGCCAGCAGCGCCGGACTCTGGCCCGGTCGGTGGCGGCGTATCTGACCCCCCCGGCGGCACCTGCGGCTGCGCCTCCGCCGGTGACTTCGCCTGCCGGAGGGGTCCGTGCCGCCGCCGCCGCCGCCGAGGAGACGGTGCAGTTCATGATGGTGGCCTCCCTGCTGTCCGAGTCCTACGAGGACTGGTCCCGGCACCGCGTCACCTTCCTGCAGCGCGGCCTGCACCACGCCTGCGCGCAGCAGCAGCAGGTGCACGGCCGCCCCGCCGAGCTCTTCGCCGTCGTCAAGCCGATCCTCGTCTACGTGGGGCTGATCGAGCGGCTGCAGTGCTTCTTCAAGCTGCCGCCCAGAGCGGGAGGAGGGGAAGCGGCAGCAACAGCAGTAGCAGCAGCAGCAGCGGACGGGGGCAGCGGCGGCGGGGGTTTGGAGAGGTGGGAGCTGGCGATGAAGGAGCGGCTGGGGAACGTGAAGGAGATGGCGGGGTTCTCCAAGGAGCTGCTGCCGTGGCTCGAGGACATGACCTCCGCCGAGAGCCTGCAGGAGGCGTTCGACGTCATGGGCCTCCTCGGGGACGTCCTCTCCGCCGGAGACTACCCTCACTGCGAGGCCTTCGTCGCCGCGGCCGTGCAGAAGAATTGACCAGACACGACGATGGTTGGGAAACTCTGTATGATGATGAAACTATCTATATATAGTTGTATAGTTTCCCCGCGACGAGAAGCCGCTGTCTTTCCCCAATGACGATTTTGAGCGGCAGCGATACGTATGAAGAGGCGCGCGGGAAAGAAATGAATGAATCCGGAGACCAAAAGCATCATTCATCCCACACTATGTGACTTTGGGAGGCGAACGCCCGATAGAATAAATGAATAAATACCCCCACCCTGCCCGGACCTTTCTTGGCGCTCTCTCTCTCTCTCTGTACACGGGCACCCTCTTGCCGGAGAAAGAAGAAGAAGAATGGTTGGGGTCTTTCTTGTGCTAGCTGGCCGCGGGTCTCCTCCTATTCTTCTTGCTGGGGCGCTGCTGCTCGGAGTCCTCGCCGCTGCTGGCGACCCTCGAGTGCCCCCCCGCCGCCTGGTTGCTGGAAGAAGGCCCGTCCGGCTCCTGCACAACCAAACATATTCATTCCTTAATCACCTACACTTCGTTTGAAACCTTCTCCTCCGTTGTTCTCTGGGCGAAGACAGGGAAATGACAGGGCGGCGATGGTTGGTTGGTCACCTTGCTGCTCGAGGCCTGCCGACCGACTGCCTGCCGCCCGAGGTTGATCCGCACGGAGATGCTGGCCTGGGAGAGGTCCACTCCCGAGCCCTGAAGCGCCAGCGTCAACGCGCTCACCAGCCTGACGCACACCAAATATTATTTATGGCTGCTTTTAAAAATTGAAGGGAAAACCACATCGATTCGAAAATTATCGAGGGGGCTGACCCGTCGGAGTAGGCGCTGGACAAGTTAATGGTGCCCTCGTCGATCACCAGGTCGTCTCTTCCGTTGAACACATCGGCGGCACCACCGGCATGGCCGTCGGCTGTAGAAGATGATGATCTGGGCCACTGGGCCTGACCTTGTCCGGAGTTCTCCATCCTAGGCTGAGTGTGGAAGAATCCGCTGCTGGGCCCACCGGCGGTGGGAGGGTACTGCATGGGGGCGGGGGCGGACACAAGTGGGGCGGCGGTGGCGGCGGGGGGGGTGCCATCGATGGGGTAGATGAACCCGCTGGGGGGGAGAGAGCCATTCTTTATAAGGGAAGTGTCGGCGACACCATCTGCAGGAGCTTGGCTGCTTTTCTGTGCCAAATGGGGAGCCTGAGAGAATCAAGATCACATTACACAATCCCATTAAAAAAAGAATAAAACAGAGATTTCTGGGGCCCCCGGGAGGTTTTGGAATTGATTTATTTGTAAAGACCCATTGAAATAGTTCAGAAAAATCCGGAGAAATAAACAAGATCTCCCGAAATGTAGATGATGATTTCTCTCGAATTCGAACTCCCACTGCATGAGGCAGAAGCCCCCAGCAATAATAAAATTACAAGTTGACCGCCGATAGGAGTTAAAAAAACATTGAGTAATGGACATCCCTCGCACCCATGAAATCTCTCAAAGATTGGATGAAAGAAACTCTTAACGTAATAAGAAAGCACCATGCGCATGGATAAATGAGCACGCCAAATGTAAATAATGTATGATGCACACATAGCTATACGAATATGCTCAAATTAGGGAGAAAAAAGCATTCAATCCATTACCCATGGCATCAACTTCACATTGTCCAGGTTCCATCCCGGATATGGTGACTCATACTTCTGAACCTTCTCTTGGAGAACCTGGATGTACTCGATGACCTGTGATAGAAAGAAATCGTTCGAAATGATAAATCTGAACCGTGATTTCTGTATCAAAGCATCCATCCTAAAGAAAGTAGCAGACACCTCTAGAAGAAATGATGCCTTGTCCCTTTTCTGATCAGTGAGCGGTACAAGGTTCCTCAAAATCTGAAACCTGCGCCGAATTCGTATGTCAGTTCATGCAGATCAAGGACAGCAAAACTCTTCGCGATTAGTCACAAGGGAAGAAAATAATCACAGCAAAGGAAATGAAAGACCCAATAGAGCAGATTTAACATGCCTTCTGTGTTGTTCATTCTGAAAAGTGTAGTGTTTCTTTTCCCTCTGTCACTTCCTAGTACTACCAGAGTAGATGATGATTGACTTCTAATTGCAACATAAAACCTAAATATCTCCCCTTTCATTCAATTCTATAACGTACTGCGTAAATCAGGAAAACTACGAATAAGGTTGCGTTAGGACACGTCCAAATCTCAATTCCGTCAGCCGAAATTACTGAAGAATAAGGTAAAACTTCCCCAATGTAAAGTCCTGAAAAGCATATGAGAGTAATAAGCACCAACTGCAACCATCTTTGACGGTCTATAACTAACCATTCTCCCAATAGTTCATCGACGATTTAAGGATACAAGGTCAGAAGAAAAGACATTAATCTATTGCCAAACTTCACATCACTTTCACAGCTTTATTTCTACATTTTTTCTCGTTCTTTCTTGAGCGCTGGGAGCTATTAATTAATAGCACAGTAAAAAAATGTCATAGTGAGTTACCACCTATACTATAGACCCAAAATCCGGCCAAAATAAAGACCACACAAACCCATATAATGGAAACGCCAAATAGAGTTAACGAGGAGTACGAGCATATTATGAAGCGTATAGATCAACAACAATGAGGGATTAGGTCAAGAGGAGGGAAACCAAAGAACTCGAATAGTTGCGAGAAGGTGAGAGAAACCACACCTCTCGTTTATTTTGCTCCTCCGGCGTTGCTCGGTGGCGGAATGCTTCGACCGTGGTGTGGAGGGCTTCCGATCGTCGTTGATCCCGTCGCCGCTGTTGCTGCTTCCATCTACTTTAGTCGTCAATCCTGAAGTTAACATAGCAGAAAACTTCACAAATCCCAAAAAAAACAACGAACAATAGGTCCCTTCAGCGGAGGCGAATCCAAATAGGTTGTCTGCATGAAACGAAAAGGTCGCAAAATAGAAAACCTCGTCGACTAGGACGGCTATCCCTGATACAGAGTATCCCAATATGGCACTTAGCATATGGGTTAGACGATGAGACACCTCAGCAGGAACGTCTGCCCTAGTTCATTCACTAGGTTCGGCGACGAAACGAAGGAACCCGATGTTAGGAAAGCGGGAGAGCAAAGGGCGCACCTTTCCGGGAAGAAGTCTCCTTCAGAAAATCTTCCTCATCCTCTTCGTCGTCATCGGCGAATCCCTTGTGCCTCGACGACGTGTCCATCATGTCCCTAGTGTCCCGTTGCTGCCTGCTCCAACGCACACAACTCTCACGTGATGGTCGAGGTGGGGAAATCGACATAAACAAAAACCCTAGGCCGCGAATAACGGAGACAAAACAAAGTAATAAAACGAGGAGAAGGCGGGACAGAAGACCACGCACCCAGAGGACGGAGTGAAGCCACTGCGACCGGCGGCTGAAGAGGGAGAGGGCCACTGCTGCAGGTGCGACCCTGACATTAGGCGAAGACGAGCCGAATAAGGTCAGGCCGCTCGGGGGAAACCGAAGCTGCTCCCAAAATTCTTAACACTCGACTCCCATAGCAACAATTGTATATAAATAATATAAAATATAAGGGGGGGGGAGAAAGTAAGGGTGCTATTTAGTAAAATGGAGGATTTTTTTTAGTCGTTCGCCGGTGACGAGGGCAGCGCTCTTGTCGGGCCCATGTCGTTTAAATGCGGTTTTGGGAGAGGGTTTGGAATCCGCACGACAGCTCGACGGCGGAGGGTCCACGGGCCAGGGGGCGGGTCGGCTGCTTCACGTGGGTCTTGCGTGGAGCGAAAGGGATCCCGGATAGAGATTCTCTCCCTGACAGCTCAACCGGGAGAGGACACGTGGCATCAGATCAATTCAACAATGAGGAAGGACCCAAGGAAGGTAGTAGGTACGTGCTGGGTGGACGGTCAGGTCTTTCTTCTTACCTCCGCGGGTGACATCGACCTCCCTCCACGGCTTGAAGACTCGCGCCGGGGAGTGCGAGTTGCGACTCTGCCCCGTGCCGCCGCCGATCCCCACTGTCTTCTCCTCCTGCGCTGCGGCGGCGCCGCCCGGCGAGGTGGGGCCGCACGTGGAGGAAGACCACTCCGGCTTCACGACCGCGCGTCCGAAACCGCTGGCGAGCCGGTGCTCGGAGGAGGAAGCGGAGGGCCCCACCGCCGCCGCCGCCGCCGCCGCTACTACGTTGAGGTCGATCGCCGCCGCCCTTCCCGCGCCGCCGCCATCGCGCTGCTCGACTCCGTGACCTGGCAGAGGAAACCATTAGCGACTTAATGGAGGAGGCCGTTGCGTGGTCCCCATACCTCCCTAGGGTGGTGGGGGGGATTAGTTGCGCTGTTATGATAACACTATTCGAAATTACATCACGTTGAATGGCGATGGTCACATCGTAACCGTCCGTCGCCGGTAGGCGGCGGCGGAGGACCACGTGGGTCGGCGGGCGGGAGCGGCTTGTGCCTTCTCCCGAGGGTAGGATATATTACTCCGAAGCGCCCCATGCAGGGAGAGAGGGGAGGAGGTCACGGACGGTAGAGGTTGGAAATTTTCCTGCTCTCCCGAAATGCCCCTACGCATTGGCGCCGAAGCCTAGCCATTCCACAGAGGCTTTCCCGAAATGCCCCCCCTGGAAGGGAAAGAGGAGAGAGAAGGGGAAGGGAGATCGCAGATAGAGAGAGAGAGTCGCTGCATTGAGGAACCGACTGACTGCCCACCGGGGAAGGATGGGGAATGAAACCAGGCGGCGGTGTTCGTCAGTTCTCTGATTTTATCCCTAGACAGAGGGAGAAGGGGAGGGGAGGGGCTTCGGCCTACCAGGCGGTGGACCTCTGTAGTGATCTTCTGAGTGGTGGAGTCGTCAATTTGGGAATCGGAAAGTCGTAGATCGGGAGGTGGAGGATGATTGCCAGGCGGCGGTGTTCGTCGGATCAGTGATTTTACGTCTCGACAGAGGCGGTTCTGCATACCTGGAGAACGAGGAGGCCTTGAATTCTGCAGAAGTGGCTCCTTGTGGAGAGAGAGGAAGTCGTGCGTGACTGCTGCTTTGCCTGCAATTGGACGGACATTTTGCTGAGGAGAGAGGAAGAAAATCGAAGAGGAATTGAAAAGGTAGAAGCGCGAACGAGAAAACTGCGCCAATTGCGAAATATATATACCATGGAGCTCCATCTTCTCTGAAGAGGCTCTCACACGCCGCCTTCACTCTATCCCGTCTCCGCCTTCGTTGCTGCGATGGACATCACCAGCTCCACGGACGAGACAAGCCTCCCGCCTGAAGAGAGAAGTAGGAAGGTCGTCCGGAATCCAGCCAACACCGAATCATTCAAACCGTCCGAGAATCTCTCCTACATGCGCACTCTAGTTCGCCCCTACTTCTCCGAGACGCCCGGCAGGATGCAACTGCGAATTCTCTTCGAAACAGAATCCATTGAAGAAGAATTACGCCCAATGGAAGAACAGAACAGTTGGAAGAAATCGGAAAATTCAGCAGATTCGTCCTCCGATACAGCACTAAATTGTACTATCATCACGCAGTTCTGAAATCAAAATAAAGCGAAAGAGTGACAAGTAGCCATATCCACGACAAATCCTAGAACTACCCCACCTGAAGGCGGTGCACGAGGAATGCCAGCGGCGCCGGAAGAACGAACAGCAATCTCACCGCGCAGATCTCCCCTCCTCCCTGCAAGCCTTCTCTCTCTCTCTCTCTCTTTCTCTCTCTCTTTCTCTCTCTCTCTCTCTCTCTCTGTCTCTCCTCCCTTCCCCTCCCCTCCCTCTCTCCTCTCTCTTGCTCTCTCTGTGAGGGGCGGCCGATGGAGCGGTGGGAAGGGGACGGCAGGCTCGTCCTCTTCGCCGCGATCGGTTCTTATACGGCATCGGTCCCTCCCCTCTCACTCCTGGCTCCGACTTTCCGTCGGTTAACGCCGTCAGTGGATGGTTACGGTCACACCACTGCCGAGTCCGATCCGCGGACGGATCCGAGAGAGGAAATGGAAGTTCACGTGACGTACGGCCAAGTTGACTGCCGCTAAGTCGCCGTTGACAATTGGGGAAAATGAGGATGGCTCTCTAATTCGGTTGATAAGGCCGCCCGCCACCGCAGTTTATTGACGGCGGCGAATGACGTGGCCCGGTAGCGAGCCGAACGCCCGTGGGGACCACGGCCGAAATTTTCGGGCAATCGACGGCGAGGCGGTCATGTGCGCCAGATTCACGTCCACCCACTACCTCTGCCTTTTCCGCAAATCCACTCATCCCTTCCATTTAAAACAGCAGACAGAGAGAGAGAGAGAGAGAGTATAGAGATAGAGCGATAGAGTAGAGAGAGAAGCAGCAGATTCTTGAAATGCGAGCCCAGTTAAAGTGAAACAGGGCATGGGCTTCACTCTGTGTCAATGGCGGGTGGAGAGAGATGGATAGATTGATAGAGAGAGAGAGAGAGAGAGAGGAGTTTCTGGGGCCCAGGAGAAGTGGACCCCGTTCGAGCACGTGCGGAGTGGAAAACGTCAATTTGGGGACGGCTCACCAGATCAAGACCCCCCGGCCAAATGCCACGTGGGAGACGCGGTGGTTCTGCTGGGGGGTTGTCTACGCCCCCGCACGTGTGGGTACGTATCTTCTGGTTGCGCTGGTACGGCGGCACACGTCGGACAGTTCAAACTCGTCCCAACCACGTGATTTGCCCTCCCCCTAAAGTCATCTCACGTGATCTGTGTTTTAGATGGGGACAATCTCTCTCTCTCTCTCACTGCTTCCTCAATTTTTATTTTGCACGTTTTTAAAAATCTCAATTAGGAAATTATTTTATAACTGAGAAAATTTCATCTTTTGTGTTGGAATGGCCAAGATTTTCTTCGTAGAGAGTTAGTTGCCCGATAACATAAAATTGAAGTACGAGGGAGAAGCTGTAAGAGTCTGCAGAGGGAGGGGCCTATTTGATATTCTCCTCCCCATTCGACATTCCCCTCTTAGTAGAATATCCGCTTGGGGATCAGCGTCTAATGTCTCTAGATTCACCGTGTAATGTCGGTGATTGTATGACACGTGTCAGGAGAACCACAGGGCACGTCGCGGAGATCTTCCCTACGTGGACCGCGCGAACGACAGTTCGGCCGCCGTCGTATAAACGACAGGGGATGGGGGGCGGAGACCCACCATAAGGCGCACTTCATTGACCCTCCTCAGCCCAGGTCTTTCGTCTCAAGAGGAGAGAGAGAAACTCGACGTAAAACCATGACGTCAGAAAACCATTTTAGGGAAAACATATAATTTTATAATGATAAATAATTCGAATAGTTCAATTCCTGGCATTTGGGAGAATACTAAATAAAGTATATTCTTTACTTTTTGGTTTTTTTAACTGCGCCTTTATTACGTACCCCCCCACCTATGCAGATTTGCTCCTAGGTTGTTATAAGAAGCATCATCTACCCTAATCTGGTTTACGAGCTTAATTATTCAAGCATTTTGGTACTTTTTTTTAATCAAATGGCCGGCATTCCTTCAGCATTTTTACTAGGAGTACCGCAAGAGTTGAACGTTTTTTGAAGAGACGACGTTGACAAATACGGGTCAGGAAGAGATTAAGAGATCTGTAGAGAGGGAAGATGGCGTGGGAGAAAGAAGGTCACCTGCTTGCCGAGCCGGTTTATTGGTCACAAGTGATGATTTGGAAGGGGTCCACGGAGAGAAGGCCGTCACGTACTAGATCTGCGGTCCCCACCTTCCTTAAACGGCGAGAGGGGGGAGGGATAGAGACAAGCACGTGGCATGTCACGCGACCCAACAATCAACGCGGAGACAAGTCAAGGGCGCTTCGATAGAGAGTGCCTCCTCTCATCAACGAGCCCACAGTCGACACGTGCGAATTTCGGGTTCTAAAAACGCCAATTTGGAGACGTGGCCCCGCCATCTCTACAGCGACCAGACGGATTCGGCACGGTCCCCGGCGTCACGTGGTGCGCCACCCATTCGTCAACAGATAATCTCCGATAGCCGCCGAAAAACCTCTCTCTCTCTCTCTATCACTGATAATGTGATTAAAGTTATTTAATTTAAAGGCGCACATCACCGACGCCCTCGTAGAAACGTTCCGCTCATAAAACATTATTTATTAGAAAATTCGGGAAATGAGATAAATATTTACAGATATCTTTTAAATTCTGAAATATTCCGGAAAAATACTCTTTTTCGGGGAAAGTCTTTTCCCGATGACCAACCGTTATATTTGCGAAAATGATGGTTTAATAAGCGCCACTGTCACGTGGCAGATACTCGGGTATTAAGCGTCTGTCAGTCTGGAAGCTCGTGTACCTCTCCGCTCACGTGGCTTACGACGGGCTCCGTGGAGACAGAAAACGCACCTGGAACAAAAAAAAAGGATGGTGTCCTTAAACGCGGCGCCACGTCAGCAGGGCAGCCCCGGGTCACCATATCCAGCTGGTGTGGGCCCGCATTTCCTACTCCCCCCGCCGCATGTGGAAGATGGGCCCTGCATTGGCCTAGAAGAAGAGAAAAAGGCCGAGGTGGAGTGGAAAGTTTGGGCCTTTTCGGTAAACACGAGCCGTGGTGGGCTATAGGTGCTTTTATGGGCCAACCTCCGGGTGAGGCCCATCCGTTTGACTTGACGGGCTGCTATCTATTGGGCCTGGACGTAATTCAAGCCCAACTTATTAGCCTACCCAGTGGGAAATAAATCCATTGCGACTTCAAGATTACGCTTTCCTAAAAAATATTGCAACGTTTAAAAAATTACGAAAAAAATGAGAACTCTCCGGGGATATGGTTTTTAGCGAATCATTCGTCTAATTATTAAAATTAAGGATATCATTTAAATATTTATTTTATGCCTTAACGAATTTCAACTCTGTATGTCAGAACAACGGCATTTATCAGTCAAACATCGAGGAAGGGGGGAAGAGAGAGAGAGAGAGAGAGAAGGAACCTTGCCGTTGGTTTACGGTGTGAGAGAGAGAAGGAACCTTGCCGCTGGTTTATGGTGAAAGAGAGAGAGAGAGGAACCTTGCCGCTGGTTTAGGTGCACCATTCCACGTGCGCAGATGTTCTCGTGTTTGTAGCCACACAGCGGCGTCAGCTCGTTAGTTGCTGACTCGGCAAGCCTGACGAATGCTTATCCGTGACGTGGCGCCAGGGCATCTCATCCTGGTACATTTACACAAAGCACCCCACAATTATACCACAACCACCGCCGCCTTGCCGCATCTTCTTGTCAAGTGGAACCCGACCCCGGTACTTGAGAGGGAATCCGCAATGTTAAATGCGAAGATCGACGTCTTCCCTTATAAACACTCTTTAACCTTTAAACAGATGTAATTGCATACATAACCTTAACAAATTTCCCATTAAAGTTAACTGGACCTGTCTGACCTGGTCAACCCAAAGTCAAGCTGTAAAGACGGATTAGGGTCGACCCATACCCCCTTCTAAGGTATCAACTGCCCCAAGGTTGTTATGTGGGCCCCAGTCTTTTTTTGTTGACCTTAGATATGTCGAGGTAAGTGTACCCACCTTGGACAGCTCACCTTGCCACATGTAGGAGCCGTCCCCCTCGGTGAAGTCAACCTTCCACCCTCTCTCTCCACCCCAGCCAACAGGTGAAGGTGATTGATTGATTGATTGATTGATTGCTTAAGAAGCTTTATGAGGAGGGTCCCACAAGAAGGCTACATTGGGAAGGTATGGGTCTCGAGAAATTGATTCTACGATCCCAAATTACTCAATTTCTGCAATAAAAAAGGGATATTTTTATCCTTTTACCGAATTAATTGATCCCAATTTATAAGTTATGGGTCTTCAGAAATCAATTATATGATCCCCATTAAATCAATTTATGCCAAAAAAGAGGACCCTTTTAATCCTCTCACCCGCTTAAGAAACATGGGTTACGGAGAGGACCACCCAATTTAATTTGGGTCTTGAAGGCCGCTCCACGTGGCTGCCCCATTATTTTTCCCATTAGGGATGCTTTTCCAATGCGCATTTTCTTCCGCCTCGTCCACGCGTCCTCTACCAATTAAAATACTCCCACCAAAACCGGTCAACGCGCCGGCCATCACGTGCCTGCATTGTCCCTCACGCGGGTGGGACCCAGAAAAAAGTTCATTTCCCGAATAAGAAAAAGATGGGCCTGGTAGAGAGCTCGCTTGGAAAATTCAAAGAGGCTCTTCAGCCGATTTCAAGGTGTGTGTCCTTTTTGTTGGGGTCTTACACCATCTCTTAACGTGTCCACTGTATGTGTTGAATAAGGGTGATCCCAATGAAATCTAGTGCGGCCTTTTTCATCTAGATATCCTTGAATATTTGGTAATGTATGATGTCATGGGATGTCATAATCTATAGTTAGTGAGAGAAAGCTATGCCAATTGCCAATATTTGGCCCCAGGGTCTTTACTGGGTCTTCACGGCATTGATAGACAAGTTGATGTCTTGAGAATTCTCTGGTGGAGGAAGTTTTGCTAATTCACTGCTCATAATGATTGACAAGGTTGACAAGGTTGACATGGTTGACAAGGTTGACTTTTTGAGTCTTTGTTTAATTTTTGCTTCCTCATGTTCTATAACTGCTATATTTCCATAAGTGGATGAACATGGTGCACATCTAGGGAAGAGATAATTTCCAACTTTATGTTGTCTAGTATAAACTTTTGGGTGAAAGAATTCGAATAGAAAAAAATCCCATTTTGTACAAAATGAGAATAGGTTGAGAAGTTTTAACTTTTTAGTTGAATCTGCCAAATATAAATAGTAGAGAACTCTGTCCATATCAATAGCGCTCAACTCTCTCCCAAAGTCTCCTATATCAATAGCTTTCAAAGAATTCAAAAAATAAAAACCATTTTCCTATAATAAATAGATGTATATATATATATATATCCTTCTCTATCTCTATCTCTATCTCTTCCCCTCCCTCTCTCTATTTATTACACATATGTCATTATCTAGACAAAGATAACTCATATATAATCTCTCTTTCTCTCTCTCTCTCTGGGTCTTGTGTTATTGGACTTATGGGGTCCATTTTGTTAATTTAATCAGGTGGTAAGATTGTCAAAGATTCATGATCAATGGTATCTCATTTGCTAAGATTTTTTAAATGCTACTCATCTTGGGAGGATTCTAGGGAGCCCACATGGTAGCTTTCAGAGCTCACGTTGCACCCACCCCCACATGCTTATTTCATCATTTCTCTTATCTTTTCCATATCAAACTCTCTCTCTCTCCCTCTCTCCCTTCTTCATCTTCTACCCCGTTCAAATTCCAAGGCATGGGCCCACATTCCCCTTGATCAGTCACATACTTTGGCCACCTACCAACATCCAAGCTGTCACCTTTACCAGCTCCATTTGGGAAGAGACGGTAATTCAATGATGCCAGCCATTTTATATGAAATAATTCAATCATTTCAATGAATTTTACAACTGCACCCAAATAAAGACCTTGAATTTCAGCCATACCCACTTCATTGATCCAGGACCCTATTCCCAACTTTTTCCTTTTATCTCGTTTACCATGAAAATCGGCATCATTGGAACTATGTAAGACCTCAAAGTTATCAAAAGTTCTAGCGAGCATATTAATTCATATTAATTTCGTTGCTTTAAATAACACCATCAATCTCGAGATTATTTGCTCTTTCTACCTTGCAACATAATATTTATAAACATTAAAATAAAATAAATTCAATAAATATGGAAAATAAATACTACCTAATAATAGTAATATCCCAATATTCGCTCAACCTGAACCCTCATTTGGGCCTATTTTTAAAAGGAAATATTCTGATAGGTATAGCTGCAAAAGGGAATGGTGGGTCCCCATGGACCACGCCATCAACTATCCCGAAGGTGAGAGGAGAGCGCCCGTTCACGTGAAGAAGGCGACACAGACCTCGCGACGACGGGGTAGACCACGGCGTACAACGCCCAGCAGAAAATGACCGCGAAGCATTCAATTGGTTACGACATGGATAGCCAATCGACCTTCGCGTGCAGTGGACCGCGGTCCAGATAACCCATTCCCAAACGAAAGCTCCTTCCAAAATGGTGGACCTCGCGGTCGGATGGTCAGAAAAGATGCACCCAAAACTCGACGGAATTCCCGGGTGTTGCAAAGTCCCAAATAGCCTTAAAAACAAATATAATTACTTAAAAGATAAGCTGTACACGTGGAGTGGAATGGGTCTCATTGGTCAATCAACAAAATCTGTCCTCTAGTGGTATGATTTTAGAAAATGCACCCTTTAGACTTTAAGGAATGTATTCTGAAAAAATTAGTTTCATATCGTTTACTGGTTACACTCGAGGCATTAAAATGGTATTAAAATGTTAAAATGGTATGATTGCGAGATGAAGTAGAGTATAAGTATAATGTTTTATTATAAAGGGTGTATGCGAAATGCGCATGTGATCCTCTTCCTTTCCGGCGGCGGCCAATTGGTGCTGCGGGCTTTTTAGGCGGCAGACCGGTTTCTCGTTCTCCGCGGTAATGGTAACAAATCCATCACCCGCTTCTCTTTCGCCAATGGGACCCACCCACGTCGGCAGAGAGATCGACGGCCAGAGATCCGTGGGGAGCCCCCATCTGGAGGAGGAGACCCAATCGAGTCGCATCGGACGGTTCACATTCCTCCTTCCAGAGCCTTCCATGGGTTTTGTCGCGTAGCGACCGATAAAAGGAGATAACATTAACGCCGCTAGTTGTACAAGGGGCCATCCGGACAAATAATATAGCCCTATCCGAAAACACACTTACTAAAATACCTCAATTAAATGTTTATTTCTAGAATAACCTTTCAGTGGAGGACAATTCTGAGCAAGTAACAGAAGTGAGGTAATAAATATGATATGATGCATCTATGAAGACTTATTTATGCACTGCAAAGTTTTTTGAGGGATTTAAAGTGAATAATCTGGGGAGTGGGATTTAACTAAGTAACTAGGGTTCCCTGACTTAACCCTCATCTGACCAGGGGATGGAGTTAGACGAGTCAGTAGAAGGGGGTCGGGCGGGGGGGGGGGGAGGCTCGTAGAGGCGAAGGGGAGGCTTCACAGGAGCAGGGGAAGGAAGGAGTGGGAAGCCTCAAGTATTCTGCCGGTGTTAGCATCGTGATCCATCTCCGGTAGGGATCTCTGCGTAGGATCCCTGCCGTGGATCTGCTGGCGCTGTAGTGCCGGCGTCGGCGGACGGGGGGTAATCTGCGCCGGGCTTGCTCGGCGGTGGCCTTGGGGTCTCTCCGTTGTTCGCTGGATTCTGGTGAGTAGAGTGGTTTCCCTCTGCCTGTTTACGGAATCCGTTGTGCAAACGGATGCCTTTCAGCTGAGCTTGTTTTCTGGATTTAAGTTTTTTTTTTCTGCACTGTTTTCTGTCGTCTTGAAACATCTACATGCTTGAGATTGGTCGACAGGCTTTGGTTCTGTGTGAATCTTTCGGATTCTTTGAGTTTTGCCTAATTTTTCTTACCTTTTCCCACCGATCGGGCGATAAGTCTGCGATCGGGCGATAAGTCTGCGATCTGGCTGATGGGGTGTGTATTGTGAGATTGGGCTCCTGGCCATTCTGTTTTCTAGCTGAAGTCATCCAAATGATGTCAGTTTTTGGCGTCGTCCGGGAAATTAAGCTCCCGCCCAATCGTATTTTTCATTGTTGAACAATGAACAGGGTCATTGTCAGTTGTCAGAAAATGCTAAAATTTATGCTTAATTTATTATTTTCAATGTCTAACTTTTGAAGTATGTGCCTTCCTGTGTGAGTTTACGCATCAGCATGACTATGTGTTAAATTTTCTTGTGAAAGACGGTTACTTCGTATTTTTTACGGGTTAGGTAACAGAAATTTCAGAATGTTTGAAGGCCTTCATCATATTATGCAGATTTCATTTTTTATTTTGGAATACTTGTGTCCTTTATCGAGTATCCCTCCCATCTTCTGCATCGAACGGTGCTCGGAAGTTTTTATCGATACTTCAAACATTATAAGCCGTGTTCAATCTTATCCGATGGTCTTAACATAGTAACGGAAAATAATTAAAATTTCTTGCATTTTTCGCCTTTCATTTGATTATCTGTGGCTGAAAGAGCTTCACGACTTCAACTTCTTTCTGTAATTTTGTAGAAAAAGCTTATTTCATTGCAGGTCAGTTGCTTGTATCATTTGTTTTGCGTCAGATTTGGCTCGGTGACCTTTGGACTTACCCTTTTGTTCTTGACAGCGCTTTCTTCTCGCGTTTTTGTTTTATTGTCCGATGCTACCATTTTCATTCCCTTCTCAAGAACGATAACCTTGAGATCTATTTTCGTTCCTCATTTTCATGAGAAAGATTTTCCCAGTTTATCAGGCAACTTCCCCGTCTGTTCTTGAATGTATTCCTTTCTGGATGCTTTAAGATGCCAATGCAAGCCTTCCCTTTATGCAATAGCCCTTTGTGTCCATTCCTTCTGCAGAGGATTGGTCTGAAGCCTAATCATGTCATTATTAACATTTCAGGCTTTTTATTGAAATTCCCTCGGAGAGGATGCATTGTTGGGTGTAAAGCTACATCCTCACTTCTTTCTTTCTCTATGTTTCCGCACATGTGAAGGCCAGTTGTGAGCTAGCGTTGGCATGCGCATTTGATGTTCATCTGGGCAGAGTATTTACCTCTCTCCTTTCTGTCATCAGCCTCTGTGTTTGGCGAGTGTGCGAGGGGGGAGAAAAGAGGAAGGAAAACCTCTCCCTCGTTGCCTCCGCCAAGCACAGTTCATACTCACCGTTGAGCAGTCCGGTCCATGTCTCCTAACCTGGAAAGCCCAGTTCAGACTCAAATGGCTGTTGCAGTCCTGAACCGTGTTCTGACCAGAGAGCACCATGCCAACTTATCTGACAGCAAACCTGCTGGTAGAAGACGTGTATTTGTGCAAACTGATACAGGATGTGTCCTAGGCATAGAGCTGGATCGCAGTGACAATGCCCATACTGTCAAAAGGAGGTTGCAGGTGGCGCTCAATGTCCCCACGGAGGAGAGCTCTCTCACTTTTGGTGACATGGTCCTCAAGAATGATCTCAGTGCTATCCGCAATGATTCCCCGCTGCTTCTCACCAGGAACTTTATGCACAGGAGCTCATCCACTCCATGCCTATCACCCAATGGCAAGGATCTTCAGCAGAGGGATAGAAGTGGCCCCATCGAAATCCTTTGCTGCTCTAGGGACTGTGCTGAAACAAAACATCTTGTGAAGACTGCTATGAAGGCTATTGAGAGTGGTGTGGATCCCATCCCCGTGCACAGTGGTCTTGGAGGTGCGTACTATTTCAGGAACTCCAGTGGTGAGAGTGTTGCTATTGTGAAACCAACAGATGAGGAGCCATTTGCCCCAAACAATCCGAAAGGATTTGTGGGCAAAGCCCTTGGCCAACCTGGTCTCAAGCGTTCGGTGCGTGTTGGGGAAACAGGGTTCAGGGAGGTTGCTGCGTATCTTCTGGATCATGGCCATTTTGCTAATGTTCCTCCTACTGTTCTTGTCAAGATTAACCATTCCATCTTCAACATCAATGAAGTCAACGGTAGTTGTAGCAAGGCTCATGATAGAAGGCGGAAGGTTGTCAGTAAGATTGCATCGTTCCAACAGTTTATTCCTCATGATTATGATGCCAGTGACCATGGAACATCAAGCTTTCCTGTTGCTGCTGTGCACCGGATTGGTATTCTCGATATAAGAATCTTCAATACGGATAGACATGCTGGTAATCTGCTAGTGAGGAAGCTTAATAATGGTGCTAGTGCGATTGGAGGTCAGGTGGAGCTCATCCCCATTGACCACGGTCTTTGCCTTCCTGAGAGCCTTGAGGACCCCTACTTTGAATGGATCCACTGGCCCCAGGCTTCAATTCCGTTTTCTGAGGAAGAACTCGAATACATTGCCAATCTTGACCCCATTGAGGATTCGGAAAAGCTTCGGACAGAGCTGCCGATGATACGTGAAGCATGCCTGCGGGTTCTAGTCCTCTGTACTATCTTCCTCAAGGAGGCAGCGGCTTTCGGCCTTTTCCTTGCTGAGATCGGTGAGATGATGAGCCGGGAGTACAGAGGGGCCGAGGAGGAGCCGAGTGAGCTCGAAGTTGTCTGCATGGAAGCCAGGAGACTTATTGGCGAGAGGGAGTCATTTCCTCCAGTTGAAACAGGGGAGGAAGAACACTTCCTGTTCGATTTAGACGGCGAAGATGATGAATCATTTCCGTTAAAAGCATCCTCCAATTACCACTTTGGACTCAAGGCTGGTGTCCCCCGAAACCCTCTGTCAAAGCTCGAGGAGAGCATGGAGGAAGGAGATGGGAATGAAGACGGCACCGTGGAAGAGGAGAGTGGTCACTCCACACCGTCACTTTCGTTTGGCCAACTGCCTACCATCAACAAGCTCTCCTTGTCGCTGAAGGTCATCGGGCTTGGTGGCAATAGTCAGTATCTTGCAGGCGGTGCAAAGAAGTCCGGCAATGGCCAGGGCAGCTCAGGCGGTGGCGGGGGCATCTGGAGCAGCCGGAGCGCCAATGAGCAGCTGCCGGTGAGCGGCTGCTTTGTGAAGCTGGCCGACATGGGGCACGAGGAGTGGGGGGCTTTCCTAGACAAGTTCCAGGAGCTGCTGCTGGGGGTGTTCCGTGGGCGCAAGTCTGTGGCCCCAGGCCAGCGGCAGAGGCAGAGGCTGGGAACTTCTTGCCAGTTTTGATGGGGGAGGAGGATGGGGATGTTGGTTGGAGCTCCTCTTTTAGCCCTTCTGCAGCATGTCGGCATGTTCCCTCGTTCTCTCCTTGGCTGGCGAAGAAGAAGAAAACCAGAAGGGGGAAGAGGAGGGGAAGACGAGAGGAGAATAAAGCCACGGTGGTGGGACGCGGAGTATCCTCTTTTTTTTTCGTGAGTTTGAGCTCGTTTCAGGAGGAAATTAGCGCAGGGAGATATGAGGTACGTGGTTCTGTAAATACTTTCCTAGGTCTTAAAATCTTAGAAGCCTTTGGAGGACGCGTGTGTGCTCCTCTCTCTCTCTCTCTCTCTCTCTCTCTCTCTCTCTCTCTCTCTCTACCCTGTTTTCTCCTTTTTCTTCTTTCCTTTGTGTGCCTTGTTGGGCCATGGCCAAATAAAGTTATGGGAAAGGAAGAAGGCCGTGTATATTACTGTGGAAAAAATATGCTAGAGTGCTCTCAGAGCCTTCTTCGGCGTTCGAGGATGCCTCTCTCTAGCTGTTGTATCTAGTGGAGCTAGTACTGTATAAGATGCTGCAGCTTCTCTTGCTCACTCTGCCATCCACCCATGATACTATTTACTGAGTGTTCTTCTCCCGTTTAAGCCCGTTTAACAGCGGCGATTACATCTGAGCTCATCAGAGTTCATCGTGTTCATAATTCCGCCCCCATCAGCATTGCATGCTCAAGTGTTCCGATTATCAACCTAATTCTTAACCCATAACGGGGCATCATCAAACCTAATGGAAAATAGCACCTGGTCAAAGAAATCTTTGAGATGATCTCCAAGGAGCTGGAGAGAAACCGCGCTCTCAATCCCCTCTTCAACGGTGCTGGGCAGCCCAATTAGGGTAAAAACCCCTTTAAATAAATGATAGCAAGCCCCTCCGAAGACGGAAAAGTGGGGACTGTGATCCTCATTCTGTTCTCTTCTCCGAGAGAAATGCGATAAATAGAAATGTCAACGGCACGGTGGGACTCATTCCCCATTTACAACGCATTCTATGTACACGCCGCCATCTCTACCGGTGGTGAGATGGTACGGCGAGAGCGACCTCTTTCGCTGGTCATCTTACTCAGCTCAATCTGCTGGGCCTGTATTCTCTCCAGAATGGAGGGCCCATCCTCCGCCGGAAAAGAAGAGGAGCCGTTCTGGCCACTGGCAAGGCGGCGCCGCCTCACCTTGATCCTCAAGATGGCCTCGGTGATCTCTGAAATCGACGGCCGCCGCCTCGGTATCGTCTGCAGGCACTTGTAAGCGATGTCGGCGAGGAGTTGGACCTCTTCCATGTCGCAGTCCCCCACAAGCCTCTTGTCCAGTATCTCATCCCAGTCGGCTTTTCCATCTCCGCCGGTGACGGCCTGAATATGTTAAATGAAGATAATATGATCTTATAAAATATTATAACTGGGCGAGATACCCATGAAAAAAATAAAATCGAGTTGGAGCACCCAGATGAATTAAATGCGACTGCTGTAGATATATTACGCTGGGGTCCATATACAAATAAATATGTCAAGTGGACATAATCAAACTGATCTCATCAACAAGGGTAACAGAGCGAAAACCAATGTAAAAATAAAATAAATTGGTGCACACTTGCTTCGGATCAGTGAAGATAAGCAAATTAAATAAACCGATCTCATCAACTAGGGGGGGGTAGAAAGAAGTAAGATGGGCACGCCCAGATGAAAACAATGTCATTTCTATCATACTTGGATCCACGGACTCACCAGATTGATGTACTCCATGAGACCTTGCTGGGGGTTGATGGCCGTTATGAGCTCAAACATTATGATGCCGAAACTGTAGATGTCGCTCTTCGTGGTGATCATGTTGGTCGACACATAGTTAGGGTCCATGTAACCGTAAGTGCCTTTCAGGCCCGAGCTCCTCCTGTCGAGGGCCATTTCTTCCTTGGACAGCCCAAAATCTGCGACCTGTTCAGAGAATCGACTCCATGAATTAACTGAGATTTCATGGCAGATTCCATCCGCTAAAAGCAGAAGATTTATCGTACGAAATTTATGCTAACCAAAAGGACTCTCAGTTACTTTTGAATGTTAGAACAGTCCTGGCTTGCAAAAGAAAAATATATATTATCTGCAGATTATATAGATAGGCTAACTTTGATCATTGCCAATGGTTTTTCAGTTAGATGACACAACACTTCAAAGATCTTAGAGCCCATGTTTGGCTTCCGAGTTGTACTCATGCCATTTCACTGTACGCAGTTTAGAAGTCGACTTGGATGTGAGGAGATGTATAGTAATATGAAACCACACGTGAAAAAAGAAAATAAAATCTTGTGATCGTGTAGATGGATGGGTTTACTCGACTCATTTCTGATTAATTTTGACTTGGATGGCTCAATACTTTCGACGCTGTAACCATAAATTCGACATATAAGAACACACTCTGACATCAACTTCTGTACAATATTTTTTCCTTCTTTATGCCATATTTTTATTCATTTTCACAGCTTTCACGCCTTGGATTCTCACCTTTGCAGTCAGAGAGGCATCAAGGAGTATGTTGGCAGACTTTAGATCTCGGTGTATTATAGGTGGGACCGCCTGTTCAGGAGTGAGAGTTAGCTATACCATAAACATAGAGGAACAAAGAATGGAGTCTGGCATTACTTCATTAATATTTACCCCTTCGTGAAGATATTCGATGCCCTGAGAAATATCAAGCGCAATATTGAGCCTTTCCTCCCAGCTCAAACTGCGCACACCTTCAACTGATGGCAAAAAGAAGCAGATGCTCAAAATACTGAAGCAAATTTCCAATGACGGATAGATGAAGGGTAAAAAACCGACGGATGCACAGGGAGATGTAGGGAAATGGATTGATATTCAATCTGGCCGCGGTCCAAAGATCCCTGTAGAGTTCTAAATGTGGGCCCCTCAAAGAAGTTAAAGTTAGGACGGCTAGCATGAAGCATTTTCAAATCGAATTTGTTGATGTCCCAAATGGTCCAAGTTTAGTCTCTCATATAACTCATTAAAATATGATGATTTTCAAGATGCCGCAAGAGGATTTTTATTTTTTTATCTTTGATGGTAAACCAAATATCATGCATAATTCTAACAACTTGAGATGGTTCCAACTGATCATTACCATACAGATGGTTTGCCAAACTTCCATTGCTCATGAATTCATAGACGAGCATGTGCTGGCCTCTCTCCACACAGTATCCAACCAGATTCACAAGATTCCGGTGATGAAGTCTACTGAGCAGAAGTACCTGTGACAATTATGCGAAAATACTTAGCGAAAAAAGTCACCCATAAGTTGAGAGTTTCTGTAGATTGCACAGTTAGTATGGAATGAACAAGAATAAAACGATACAGGGAAGAAGGCGGAAGTTTTGTTCATCAGAATAACGTCAGTCAGAACAAATACTATGGTCTCAAACTAGCTTTTTGCCTACGAGGCATATGATGAGTCACCAAATCTCGTGGACACAATGTCAATGATAAACCACTGGATGATATATCAAGCAAGATAACCGTCGGAAATAAAACCACTAATGGAAAGATAGACGACCATATAGTTCTTCTGGATTTGGTGGTTCGAATAACGAAGACAGTCAACTCTCGACTCTCACCACCACCATCAGTTACCTCAGCTTCTGTTCCTGAGATCATACATGGTAAATTAGTGTATTCCAGTTACCTCCCAAGTTTATAAATCTGAAAGCTCAGTGATGAGAGAGATCAAACTTTCAAGTCTTTATTATGTTTGTTATATCGGAGCTCATCAATATCTCAATCCTTGTATCATCAGTCAACACAATGGATGCTTTATCATAGACGCTCTCATACTGGCATTTAATGGGGAACATCTTAACACAGTATCGATATGCCAGACAACGATATCAATCAAGATAAACCTAAGGGGAGTAAAGCCCATCATCATACAGAAGACAAGACATCTATATGGGGAAAGGAGTTCACATAATGTAGTGTCTTGAGGATTTGCAAATGGAGAACAATTACCTCTGTCTGGAACTCCTTCTCTCCTTGCCTGGAATTAGAGGCAAGTACCTTCACAGCTACCACTGCTCCATTGGACATTTCGGCTTTATAGACCGGTCCAAAAGATCCCTGCCCTAAAATAGTCGTGAAATTGTGTGTTGCCTTCTCGATGTCCCTGGAACATAAACCATAGATAAGACACATCAGGTTCAATGCACGTGAATTTGACGCAGGTATCAATTGTGTGGTATATAAAAGGATGATGCTCACCCACACAATGTCGAACTCAAATAAAAATAATAATTCGTAGGATAAATTTGGATTAAATATAGATGAAAGAAGGGGGACAGTTGCACTTGATTCCCCAGAAAAAAGTTCAAGAAGATGGCAGGATGCAAAGAACTTCGCAGCATGATTCGCCTATCCATGTGTGGTTGAGACCAGGATCCTACAGTTCATAATGTAGAGTATTTCTCTGACTTTACCTACAGCAGTGAAGTTTGTTGATTGAATGTAACTTGAAAATTTTACAGTAAATTGAGCGGGTGGGTTTCAATTATTTACCAAAATAATGCTAAAAAAAGAAAGAGCACAAGAGCATATCTCTCCTAGATGGATTTCTTCTTCTCTGCAGGGAGCCTTCTTACCCCAATGCAAGCTTTCTTAAGCGTAAATCTTCAGAAAGTATATCAACCACGTGTAGTGTAGTTCAGTAGAAGGCATAGAGAAGTATTCATCAAAATCATAACACCAGATTATCCTTCAATTTTGATACAGAAACTAATGCAAAGGGAAGAACACCTACAGACACGTACTTGTATAAGTATCTCGGAATGCCCGAGGCAGAAGCGAATATGTCACTGTGAGCCACCTTCTTAGGCCGGGGAATGCCTCTTTTGACAGATGGCGGCATGGCATGGGAGGGCTCAGTGCTTGAGGCCATCGACACGCTCGAGTCCATGCTTGCAAGTATGTCATTGATTCGTATCGGGAGGGTCGATGCACTTCGCTCTTCACTGCTTTTCTGCTTGAGCGAACGCTTGAGGAAGCATCTTATGGTGATCAAGATGCAGAGTGATAGCAAAATTCCAGCTGCCAAACCGACGGAGACGCCGATGATAACCGAATCAGTTTGATTCACCATTGCCGCCTGATTTCATGGTTTGGAAACTATAAACAGAGCACAAGCCTGCAATCATAAAGAAATTAATAACCGCATTAGAACCTTCTCCGGCCTTTAATATTAATTCAAAGAGCCGTAGTGCAGGCTATTTGAAGAGTAAATATCCATCATGAAAGAATATTTTTTTAGCTTTCCTAGACAACAATTCGGTGCTGGATGGTGAAGCAGTCAACATATGAAATTAGCTAGTTGCAGAACCCTAGAATTCGACAGCTGCTGGCCAGAGATGTTTCAAAGGTCAAGTCCGAGTGATGCTTCTCTATCTACACTTGCATGTAGACGTCGGATAAATCTGTACTTGGTGAGATAAATGCAGAAGCTATCTGTGGAGGAAATCAGTGGATGTTTTTTCTTCTTTTGAGCACAAATGCCCGCGAAAATCACCTGAAATAGCATGCCTGACTATAAAACCCGATTCAGCATAGTTTGCAGATTCAGGATATTGATTGAATTATTTTGTATTTTTTGTTCAACTTCAAAGGGAAAAGCTGGGTCTGACCTATCAGGGAGAATCGCCTGAATTTAGTCAACTGGATGGATATGCAAATATGGCTCGATGTTTTGATCATCAAGATGCGTAAAACGATAAATAAGATTATTGCAGACACAGGCGTCGATCACCAGCAATCAGAGAACGGATGAAAGCCTTCAGAGGGGCGATACTCGAGAAGCCAGAAAGTTAGGGTAAATGAAAGGCTGGGGTAGCAGGAGAGAACGAGTCACCGGTGAGAATTATATGCAGCGGAATTCCAAATCGTACCCTTCTGGCGTCAGAAACAGTAACAGTAACGGGAATCGCCTCCAAGACCACAAGAAATACGATGAACAAGAGTTTCCGCGGCGCAGGTTTGAGAAGTGATGACGAACTTTGCTTTGCCGGTATTTCTTCGATAGCTGATGGGCTCTGTCCCCCGTTGGGCCATCAATCGGCAATCGGCAAGACCCGTCAAGCCTTGCTTATACTCCTCCCCATGACTTTCTGTATTCTATTCAGGGCAGATGGAGGAGGAGGAGGAGGAGGAGGAGGAGGGAGAGGGATTGAATACGTCAGGGTTGGAAGAGGGGAATAGGACGGGTGGAGAGAAGACGAAGTCGGGAACGAAAGCACCGAAGAGAAGGTTCGCCCGTCGACTTCCGTTGACTTGGCTTCCTGCCATGATCGGCAGCAGCTGCTTATCTTTGGATTGGAAATCTCGCGGAAGATTCCTAAAAAGATATCAGACAATTTATTCAAAGCGATGTCATTTACTCTGTCCGAGAAAAGTATTCCGGGAGAAGAACAAATTAATTTTTTTCATAAAGCGACAATAATGTTTCGAAACTTTCTTTTGACTGATCAAGAACTGAAGGGAATTTTTTATCTTTCATCTTTCGCTCGAGAGAATGGGTGAAAATTTTAAAAATTCAACTTTTGGATCTAAAATAAAGAGGGTGCTTTTGCCTCGTATCATATCTTTCTTCTACGCGAGGCTTTCATGAGTCTGCCCATTTGGTGCTACCCCTTCATGCAAGTAACAATCTCTCTCTCTTTCTCTATCCATTTTAGACAGGGGCAACGTGATGGCAGATACTTTAAGATTATTACAAGTGTCTTTTTTAACATCGATAAGTCCACCTAGAAATACGGTGAGTCTCACCTAGCCGTGTCAACGCTTTTAGTGCGCACATTTTTGTTGACTTTTTCGTTTCTCCTACTGCAGCAAAGTCAAATGAGGACTCCGCCCATTTAAAATGTTAAGTGCCCATTTCTTTGTTCTTTGGGAGGCCCAAAGTGGCCAATGGGATATTGGCTACCGAAGGAAAGGCATTTTGCAGTGAAATCCATGAGGAGCCTCTCTTTCTCTCTCTCTCTCTCTCTCTCTCTCTCTCTACACACACGTATATGTATATATATATATATATATATATCTATTCATATATGTATATATTGAACTTATCCTTATGAAGGTTACAGCAGTCTGAAGCTCTTGCCAAACGTGGTGGGATGGCGTTCAGTATATTTACCTAACTTTGAGAGGGTTTCTCATATATGCTGAATTATCATGAATGTTAGTGCGGATATATAATGAAAATAATGAATCCGAAATTTAAAATTTTTAGTAACCTGAATTGTAATAAAATACCATATCATTGGTTCCTACATAAACCCCAATAAACCTTGCTAGGTATAGACAATGTTCATCATATGAATAACAGTAAATAAAGTTTTAGTGATAAAAATCAAATTTATAACTTAACACTTCATATAGGTGGATCTTCTAATATGCTCTCTTTTTTGAGTTTTGATAACTCCATTATTTTTTGATGATCTACACATAAGTTACGATAACAACACCCCATTACAGATTTATGATCAAACTTTGGTTTTGTCTCACGTAATAAATGATATTCTCTTACCTTAATTGTTTAAATGGGATTAGCCTTCTTGCCACAAGATTTTCCTTGTAGAAATCAGAATATAGCTACCCAATTAACATCTGGATAATGCAAGAATGAGTGCCTCAATTGGAGTAAGAAATTATTAATTTTTCAAGTTTATATGGATTTCACAAGATCATAAATAATGTATGTATATTATTTTCAAGTTTCAGGCCATTATTGGTAATTTAAGGCAGCTCAATGGGGTGGGGCAAATCCAAATCTTATTAGGAAGAGTCAATTTGGCTTGAAGTGAGAAACAAGCCAATTAAGGACAAAATGAGCCATATTAGCTCAAAGCATGCCCATTTTTTAGTGGATGTTTAAATCAAGATTTATAGGGTGGAGGCTGCATTCTTGGTCCTCCTACTCCCTGCATCCTCCTAATACCTTGAAGATTCAAGGGTAAGATTAGCTTCACAAAACTTCACACTTGAAGAGAGATCTCATGCTCTCCCTCCATTAGTCTGCTTATATCCTTCAACAATGAACCAAACTCTTCACCTTTACTTGAAGGTGGCAGTAATAATATGATGGTATCTCAACTTAGAGCAACCTCAAACAAAAAAGAATATAGTAAAAGACAATAAAAAATACTAAAACATATGTAAGGTAAGAAACAAAGATTCGATAATGTGTGAACCTTAGAATCTAGAGTGGTCATTCAAGAAGACCATGACTCTCCTTTAACCTACCACTTTCCCTAAATAACTTGATGCCCATTATAAAACTATTCGGTCCCTTACCCAATATGAATCATTTTTGCAATCATGGGAAAAATACTACATATCCCTACTTGAGTTCTTGCTAAGTTCTTGTGAGGGGGGTGACATGACTTAATCATTATATAATAAATCATGTAAATTAAAAAATTTTAAACTAGAAAATATTGATATTATATTTTTAGAAATATTTCAATAAAAATTAAATTAATTATAATTTTATAAAATATTAAAAAATATTAAAAATAGTTTAATTGATCAAATGATATAAAATAATATATGGTAAGATTTTAATCTCAAATAATATAATTTTTTATAAATTTTAGACTAAATGATGAAGATAAAATATATTATAATTTAAAAAAAAAAGAAAATTCAGGTGTGGATGTTAAGATGACATCAACACCCTAACGAATGTAATTTGGGCAAAAATATTATTCCATTCAATGATCCTTACATAAATGATTATAGATGATTTAATTGATCAAATTAAGATCTATAAAAGTCAAAATAATCATAATTGAATGAATTTTTTTTTTGAAACTAGAAATCACATAAAATATTATTAATTTAACTAAAATATTTATTTAAAGTAAGAAACATCGTAGTAGTGACTATTGAGATTCTATGTGTTCGAGAGGATTATCGTGTGATATTCATTGTCTCAAAAGATCTCCTTGAACATAATGACATGAGTAATCCTTAGATTTTCTTGTGAAGTCTATAAATTAATAAAATGAGTTGTCAGATCATCTATAACAACTGTTACTTAATAGAACATAAATAAGTTAACTTTACATCTCTCACAACTATCATTTGACGAAGATAAGTTAGATGGAGGTAGGGTGTGTCTTAGGGAGCTTCATCTTTAGATCTGCATAGTAAGAGGAGACTCTTCATTACATATAATATGGTTTAAAGAGATATTGACTTATTTATTGATAGATCATCCTCTTCTTGATGATGACTTGTTCATCGATCAATCAAAGATGATTTTTTTGATTGATTCATTATCTTTTTATCTAAAATTATTTAATAATTGATGACGATGCTCTACGAATCATGTTGATGATATTTTTATTAATGATTAAGTAACTATCACAACTTAATTATTGACTAGTACTTTGTAAGAAAATCATAATTTAATTAGGAAAAACATAAATTTTGACTCTAATAAGATATAAACCCTTATAAGTCACTCAAATGCTTGAGAGAGAGAATATAAATTTCTTATATACCTTTGTGACGTCATAGATGCATTTTCTTCTTATAAATAAGAGATATTTTAGGTATTAACATAACTAAAAACTTGTTAATGAGTGATGCACAAATTGTCTCACATTGACTGTGTTATGAGTTTTGAGACATATATGTAGATATATATTATCATTTTTATGTTTATGGGCCTCACCCACTTTCTCTCTCCTCACCTCAGGCTTCAGCCTTCTTTTTTATTATTATTTTATTTTTCTGTCTACATGGTATCGAAGCCAGGTTTTATCGGCCACCATCTCCTTCACGACGCTGGCCGCCATACCCACGGCCGCCGGCACTGTTGTAGCTGCCGCTGCAGACGCCGCTATGGAAACCGCTAGGGTTTTCTATCGGCCGCTGTCTCCTTCATGTCGCTGGCCGCTGTAGCCATCACCACCGCTGCCGCCGCTGCGGAAACCACTAGGGTTTTCTATCAGCCGCCGCCGCCTTCATGACGCTGGCCGCCGTATCCACCGCCGTCGCTGTAGCCACCAAGTGCTGTGCGCTGTTGCGCACAGCAGCACGAGCGTCGTTACACGCAGAAAGCACGCCGTCGTGCGTCATGTG